TTGAATTCACTTAAGATAGATTCAAAGAACAGCATTTTTTCTTACATCAGCCGCTTCTGAAGATGTAAGCAAGTAAAATATCATTAATTACGCACCGTCGCACTCCCCAAGCCAGGTAATAACAGGTTACTCGATCTGTAAGATTCTTGGTTGACTTTAATATTTTTTTCAATATCTCTCCCCAATTTCACGAGGTTATGTTATTGGTATTCTTAAATGACTTTTGATATCGTTATTTATAGCGAGGTCAAACAGGGTCGCGAACATTGATGAAAGAGATCGATATATATATATATATATATATATATATATATATATATATATATATATATATCCTCCGTCCTCACTCTGTTTCTAAATTATGCGTGGTCGGTCTTATCCTTGTTGTTGCGAGCGGGTTATGTTCTTGCACTGTGCTGTTGTAAATTTCCTGGGTTTATATTAATTGCACGGTTTATATACATGTATCTACCCCTTGCCGCTCGTACAAGTTATTTACGTTTCTAGATGTCAACATTACAGATATCATTTTTGATGCCTAATAACCTCTGAAAGTGCATAGTAAGAAGAGTGCTAACATTGCCTGCAAGGTAACATTTGGAATGGTCACATTTTAAAAAAGATATAATGATCGCCAGTCAGTAAATAGGCATGAAACAACATGTACGTATGGCACATACACATCACTATCCGCCACGCTCCTGATGATCTCATTAGCCTTACACCTGTCATTATTTTTATCTTATCATTTCTACTGGCTAAACATGTAGCCAGTAGGCATAGGAGGAAGTGAGAAGAATTTGAAGTAATTATTATGGAGCTTCCCGAAATGATGCAGAGGTTAAAAAAATACCGCACCTCAGACAAGCGGACTCAGTTACCCAGCACACTTATCTGAATTGGTTGTGATAAGAAATGGCATTCCGTATTTTTAAAGTTTGGATAAAAGTTTCTGGATTTAGATCTGACTTTTATGTTCACTTTGAAAAATTATTCAGAGTCAAAGGTGGATTTCAAGTTAAAGTTACTTAATGCATGATTTGCTCCCAAAAAAATGAATTTTCTCCTGCTCAATAATCATTGGTGGTCCTCGTGATGCACTTGGATTCGGTGTTTCATTTCATATTAATATACAGACTGTAAGCGTCTGTATGTATTCTGATCGGTCTGTCTGTCCGCGTCATCGCTTTTTTTTTTTTTTTTTTTTNTTTGTTTTTTTTTTTTTTTTTTTTTTTTTTAGTGATTTAGTGACTTTGTTTGGTAAAGAGACATGATCGGTTTAAGTGTACTGTAATTATTCTTTTTTTATTCTTTTGTGAAATTTTTATTTTTTACACATTATCATTTTCAGTGGCTTTTATATATCCCATGGAACTGAATCGCTTGCTAGTGTTTCAATGCCCATGTTACTTGTAGTAAATAATGTAAGAGGGAAAGACTAATTATGCTCTTTAATTCATATTGTAACAGTGCATCTTTTTGCGTATGTCTGAATATTTGACAGCTTTCAGGCCTACCAAACTACCAGACTCGGCACCGAATGATCCTGAATTCACCGCTAGATCGGAGCACACTACCCGTTTTCAAGGTGTGCGACAGTACGCTCTCAGACGCAACACCGCTCTTGCTCAGTACGCTATGCGACAGCGATGATTCTCAGCGGGGTTGGAAAGTAGTGCATCTCATCTCATAATTTGTTCCGGGGTATGATACTGTGAAATGCGTACTGACGCACACCTTTAAAACGGGTTCGATCTACCGGTGATATCGGGATAATTCGGTACCGAGTCTGGTAGTTGGGTAGGCCTGGCTTTGCTGCCTTGTTTCCTGTATGGTGTCTGTATATTTGCCAGCTTTGTTGTCTAGTTCATTTAATGACTTACCCCGGCAATTCTAAATGGTTAGCCAGTCATTTAAAATGCCATGTCTTTTCGTGCATTTCAGAGGAGACTTTTGATGTCAGGTACTTTTATTTCAGTTGTTGTTTAGTTTTTAAGAAAGATTAGAAGCTTTACAACTTTTTCGGCTTATACATCAATTGATACCGTTGACATTACCCAGTGCACCGTATTATTTGAAAAGAGCGCTGAGAGATACATTTAAATTGCTGTAATAGATCTGCTTAGTGTGACCAAATGGCATGTCAATATTAGAATGAATGAAAAACGGACGGGTCAAAACGCACCACGTTTGAACTAAGGTAACCACACAGCAACCACGTGTTCAGAGGAGATGTACACGTATAACATACTTTTTAACTACATATGAACAAGTATAGTCGGGAGGATGATCAAACGATATCTTGAATAGATTAGCCAGTGGCCTCGATTGACCCGTTATTTCTGGTGCACAAGTTAACACAATGGCCTAATCGTCCTGTGCAGCATCCTTAAACCTCTCATTTTAACGTGTTTTTACAAAGCTGATAAGCACAGAAAAGATTAGACTTCTTGGCGCGGGATTTTATTCATTTGGAAAAATCAATACCTAGTGGCGGATTTTCGATTTCTGAAAAAAAAAAAAACAGACCAATTGACCCCTCTTGAAATTAGAATTTTGACTAGCTGAATCATAGTTCTAAACTGTACCAAATGGCACCTTTCGCACTCTAAAATACCTAAAAGGGCCCAGAAATCCACGTCGATGGGGAGGGGGGCGAGGGTCGGCTTTGCATCCGCGGCCTGTCTTTCCAAAAACGGACCCTCCCTTCAAATACGCCCCTGATATCCCCTTCCCCTACATATTTTGGGCAGTACCAGGTGAATATATAATAGGGTGTATGGTGTGCAATATGATATAACGAACTAAGGGATAGTTCGTTTTAGACATGACAGAGTCATGACATATTAATTTTTAACATATAAATCGTCTTGATAAGGGTTATAATTGATTATGAAGCACTTCAACCTTTAACATTCCAGCAATATTTAGGTCGAAGTTCCTGATGCTTTCTAGGTATGATTATAAATCTAACCCTAATAATATATAAATTACATGGAACAATATTAATAAGATAAGGATATTAATCATGTCTGTTTTCTTTTCTGTTGTCTTCACTGACTGATATTTTCCATGACTCAATACATATAAATACCCTTGGAGTTCAAGAGTTTCAATAATTTTTCATCATTTCGTCATTTTGCACTGTATTTCGTGTCTGGTAAACAGGATACGCAATGTGTAAACCTGTTTTCCCTCCTTTTGTTGTTACTCGTATGACCTAATCGACCAGAACGAGCGTTGACGTACTGCTTTCGAGTTATTATTTACTCGACAAGATCAACTGCATTTTGTTCACGGCGCAAAAAAAAATGTGTTCTTTTGTACAATAGGCACCAATCCCTCGTTCACCATTACTCAAAGTTCAAAGTTGACTTCGTGCCCTAAAGAGGTCAAGTAGTCCTATTTATCATACCCCGCGTAACCTTTGTATGCTCCGCATTTGCGACAGGTGGATCAGCACCAACAACATGGCAACTGACTTTCAGGCAACTTGCACTCTCCCATCTAGAAACAGATTGTTAATAGAACTTTTGCAGAAAAAAACTAACAGTCAGGATGCCTCCGTTCAGCAGGGAAGAATTAAGTCTCATGGCAAACTCAAGCGGAAACACCAATTGCAAAAGGACACAAGGGTGGGTCGCTTTGTTAAAACTTTATGTGCGCGCAACATCGTTATAGATTTAGTTTCCGTCCCACAAATTTAATATTTAAATTTATATAATGAAAAAAGGGGGGGCGGCACGTACTTTGGAGACTTTCGACCCATAAATATGACAAAAAGTATTCTTCTATTACTTGTCTGTATATTTCCAATTTTTTAAAATCTAGTTTCACTATTCACTTCTTCAAAGGCCTCATAATTTGGCATACAAAATCACCAAATTTACCTTTAATTTAATTCATTCGTGCATGTACACTGCATCTAAAACCAAAAATAATTTTACTTTTAAGTTTGGAGAAAACGATTTATTCACACGAGCCCAAAAGCATCTACGACAACAGTTGCTTCACAAGCATCGCTATTTGCAAGAGGCTTTTTCTAATCAGCAAAAGCAATTACAGCTCATCGCCAAAGATTTAGAATGGACGATTAAGCACAACATTAACGGCAAGGTCATGTGTGAGTATACTGATTGTGAAACCGATAGGCGTGTCTCTAGTTTCTTTACGCAACGCAAGATTTAAAGAAAATCTGGCCATATCAAATGTGTGTGTATTGTTTGTGAAACCGATGTGTCTCCAATATCTTTTGGATACAAAAGCTTTTTTATTTGTTTAATGGAGCGTACGGTTTGTACAGCAAATCCTTAATAGCAATTGAAAATATTCTTTTTTTTTTTAATTTCGAGATTGATGTATAGCTTAAGGGACAAAGCGGTACGTCTTAGAACCTCCAATTTTAGAGAAAAGGTCATTCTTGGGACATCGCTTCCACAGTTGAGCTTTCAGATAATCAAAAGGCCTGCACACTTTCAATATTAGTAAAATCATTAATTTCTGTCGTTAAACGTTCAACGTAAAGGAACCTACAATTCTAACATGTAAAATACTCGCCCACAGACAATGAGTGATAGTATAGATGTCAAATTAAAATTTCAGATTTCTTTCAGCAGAATAGTTTCCATGATTCGTGTTTTTTTTAAGACTGTAAATGATAACACGACAATTTTTGATTTTTGAAAATATATTCTTATGAATTGTAGGTGAAATTTCGATAAATTTTCCAAGTAAATTCATGGTCTGCATTCACGTATAAAACGTCAAAGAGAGTCAGTCCGTCATCAATCTCTACTTTTTTTATTTCTGCTTTTAAAAGAAAAGTACTCTTTTCGTACAATTTTATCGACTTTTAGAGCAGATTTGTAACGATTTAATGATAAATAACTGATTAAGTTATGCTGTGACATTTCACACTGTTACGTTATTCAAAATTAATCCCATGTAAAAATAAGCATGAACTTCTAGCTCCAGAAAGTGCAAAGGAATCGACAGCCGTAACACCAAACGCTGGCGCATATCAACAAAGGGGTCAACCTACATGCACCAAATTGCAAAGTTTGACGGCGTCAATGGTGCCGACACCCATAGAACAGATAGTAGGTTTACAAAACATTAGCACCGACGTCCAGCATTCTACGTCCACTTGCCATGATCCTCTGAAAGCGCCACACGCCTTCCAACAACTGACAGGTAAACACATTGTGTTGCATCAATCAAGCCACTTAGCTTTAACCCTTGTAAGATTTGGAATGCAGTAGTTTGGCCATGATTTTTGCTAAGAAACACAGTTAAATATTCAATAACACCCAGTTTGTTGCAAACAAAACTCATATCCATAAGTTAAAACTTGGCATTAAGCACCCCAGATCAGAACAACCTGGAAAAATTGAGAGACAAAAAATATTTGTTGTAGTATCAAAACAAAAACCACACGTATACACTATTTGTTTCCAAAACCGAGAGAAGTTTTTTTTTCAATCCTAAATACATGCAGCGTCATCATATTACAAATCCAAGATTATATAATGAAACGTTCTACATATATTATATACTTTCTTGTAAAGAAACATTTCTTTAAACACAAAACAAAACATCTTTCCAAATACATAATATCTACTTAATCATTCAGATACGGGTACCATACTGTCGGGGAATAACGCTGTGCTTTCGGAACAGAAAGGTTTTAGAAATGAACAGCAGCAGCAGAGGCAGCAACAGCAGGATTCTCAACTGACACAGTCAATACCAATTTCTCTTCTACCCAGAAGAACATCAACAAAGGATCTGGGTAACATTGCTGCATCCAGTCCCATGCATTTGGCATTACCAACACTCAGTTTTGAACCCAGCATGGCTGCTACAACAACTTCAGCCACACGGGATCTGCATTTGACAAGTCACAGTTTACGTCTGCAACTGTTGCACCAGCGGTATAAGCTACAATGCCAACAACAACAACAACAACAACAACAGACCAACTCATTCACCAACTTCCCTACCACGTCTTTTACACAACCGCTACTGGACGATCAGATACCAGTGGCTGCAAGTGACATGCCATGCAACGTAACTGACCAAAATCCGGAATTGTGGGACTTTGATTTCATGGATCACATTCTCAGCGAAGACGACCTTCAAGCTTTGGAGTGCTATATCGAACATGATCCTGCATTCGATGGTGAGCATAACTGTCCTCCTAATAATATCTCGAATGGACAGGAGCAACTCTAGTGACCTCCAGACTGAGAGACCAATTTGTAGGTGACAAGTATTATATTTACAGGGAATATATCTGTAAAAAGCAGAGATCTTTCCAACTTTAACTGTAACACACCATACACACAATGGCATGACTTACTGCACACCCAAGTTTATCGAAGAAATATTTGAAATATAGTTAATCTGCGGATTAACTGGTTGTGGACAAGACCTTTTTTATCCAAGAGCTTTTAATCATTATACATGAGCTAATGAAACCTTATGTTAGACAAACAATCTTCAGAGATACAATGAGATACCTTTCAAGTTCAATAAACCTGATAATCCTTATATCCTCAGATTTCTGAGTGCCTGAAATTTCAGGATTCTAAACACAAAAACTGGAGCCACTGCTAACAGTTCGTCTTAAGATACAACAACTGTGCAGGCAATTAGGAGTGATTACGCTCTTTTTCATTTTTTTTATTGAAACAATGGTGTAGTTACAATAACATGATTAATATTTTTCACATTACAGTCCAGTATACTGTCAACTTTATGTTACGTGTACTGAATAGCACTATAGCTGTTCACCACATTGTATTACCTTATATCGTACAAAGTACAATATTACCAGAAGTTGTCATTACATAAAAAGTGCACACACCTCAACAAAATAGAAAATGAACAAAAAGCAGTGAAGGCAGAAAAAGTAAACTGAGAAAACATACTCTTAAAAATCCATTTTTTCCATATTGCTTATGGTAGTAAACTGTGCACATACTTTTATTTACAATTATTTTTATTATGTGTAAAATTTTATTATAACAGATATTTACCTCAGATTACCTGCACTTCTACTAACTGGTAATCCCATCAATACCTCACAATTAGATAGGTTCAAGTTTCAACTCATTTAAACCATATCCAGGTTCATATATCTGTCCATGAGCTGAGAAAATGCTAGAGGGAAGAACAGACATGTACGAAAGTTATAATTCAGCATCCATGGCATTCATGTGGACACTTTTTGAAGAGGAAGACTTCTGATGGACTGGGGAAAGGATTGGACAGTTCCAATTTCATTTCAACTCCAAATGAACTACATTATTTACAACATCTTGCTGTGTTACAAAACAGGTGGTGGTTTAATTTCATCTTGTATAAAAGGTTTTATCCATACATGATTTCTGTGAAATTTTTTTTAATAAATTAGTAAATAACCAACAGCAACTGAAATTTATATAACACATTTGGAAAGTTTTGGAAGAAGACCAGACAAAAGAAACCCAGCAAAAAAATGCCAGAGCTGGGACACAAACAGATTTCAAGTTGCCATACCTGTCAAGTTATTTTAATTTCACTCCAAATATACGGTATACAGACACACTGTAAAAAATCCCAAAAAGTGTCGATGCCATGGCAACTTTTTTATACAAGTGCGTAAAAATACAATACCTGGACCCATGCATATACATTTTTCCCAAATTATTGAAGACAATTCACTTAGGCTAAAGTGAATAAATAATCTTGTAACTTTTCTAAAATAATTAAACTGTATGCAATAGTGAACAACAAATAAAGCCTATAAGTTACCTGCTAGACAGTTCACACAGTAATTGCAGGTATATTATTTTCAGGAGTCCTGATCCATTTTAATTGTTAAAACATGAAATAACCCACTGAACTGATCCTTGCAAGTGTACATATTTCTTTATACAGCTGAAAACATTGTTAAAGCACCTTATTGCCCTCCTAGTTGATGCTATTTGTTATCAAATTCCTTAAATATGAACTTGCACTTGAAGTTTGCAGGTCTGAACTGTGAGATCCAGTACTTTTCTCTTCCTTAATCCTTGCGCCTTGCTTATCTTGCCCTGGTTTCTTTTTGGTGAATATTCCTCCAGCTCCTCTTTTCCTGTTCAAGGCATGCTTATGTCTGGACTCATACAGGTATTTCTGAGAAAAAAAAATTAAATCAACTTTTCAAGATTTTATTATGAAATTCAGCTAACTTAGTGCAAGCCTTTCCGATAAAGTCATAAACTCATCTTTTTCAAAAATAACTTTTCCATCAATTTAATTAATTAAATTAATATCTATAAATTGTATATCAATTCTTTTATTTAGATAAAGTGCTTACTCATACTTAAAATAAACATCAAGTACTTGTAAAAAATAAAATGTTAAATTTCATATATATACCAGGGGTACAGTGACTGTACATGAAAAGTAAATATGCTTTTTAAATTTAAATGTCTACTATAACTAAAAAGCTGTAGGCCATACATCCATATTATGAGACCACATTTGTCTTATGTTTTCCATAACGCTTCAAAATCCACAAAATGCCAACAAAGTGTAACACTATGTTTTAATCAACATGAAAACTTCATGATTTCTTATTCTATAGATAATTATAATAAGATTTTATAAAATGTAACAGACATAAGAAAGTAACAAACTCAGCTTACAGGTCTTTCTTTGGGTATTTTACCAAGAGCTTCTAGTTTGGCCCTTGCCTCTCTCCTCTTAAGAATCCTGTGGTACTGTTTTGCATTCACATACAGTGGTTCTTCCCCATCTGCAGACTCCTGAAACAAACAAAAATATAATATATTCTTTAATTCCATGTAATAACCATAACCGTATTATAAAATAAACGCCAAGATTGAACTGAAATATGAGAGAGAGAGAGAGAATGAGAGAGAGAGAGAGAGAGAGAGTGTTCCCCTTATTACATACATTCACAAATACCCACACTTTTGGAGTTTCAACCTAATCCCTGCAATTTCTATAAAACTGACTCCAGATTCGTCTTAGCACTGTGCATAATATAAAACTTAAAAACATACCATCTTAAATTACAATCACAGATTTTAAAACTTACCAAAGGCATTGGGGCGGTCACTCCAGGTGTTTGTCCAAGACCAGTGAACTGACCAGGAGCTAAGTTCATGATTTGCAAACCTGCAATATTCATAATTAGCTTGAGAGGTAGGAATTAAAATAAGATATCCATGATAATTTGTTACAGTAGTGTATTGGTTACATCACTTCTTGAAGTACACTGAAACCATATCATATCAAAGATAATTTTTCAAAAGTTTAAGATAGATAAAATGGTGTCACCTTTTTCTTTTATAATGAAAGTATAGAGGTATTAAACAACTTCGATTTGAAAAAGAACCCCTAACACAGCAGTCTTACTAAAAAAGACATTTTACATTTTAACAATTTGTAGCCCTAACCCACAGTTGATATCAGTGACAGGCTGATGCAACCAGTGAGAAAAAAATCAAGAGATTTGTCCAATTATTAGCTTTACCTCCAGGTAACTGCAGGGAACCTGTGCCGCCTTCACTGTTCATCACCAGGTATGCCACCTGTCCATTTTGTGCCACCGTCACCCCCGGTCCAGAGGGAGCATGAAGACCTTTTGTATCAGGAAGGTTTTCTTTCTCCAAACGTACTGTATTTATCTCATCCACCTGCTTTTCCACAGTTACATGGCCGTCTGTGTCTTTAGAGACTGTCTCTGTGTTGTATAATAACGACCTGGCGGACACATTGCCAAGACTGGTGGGATCAAACACATGCTGCACTGCAGGCGATGACAGGTCACCTGAGGTTGGTACATTCAAGTACAAGACATTACTCCCATCTGGGTTAGCAGAGAACTGGGATACGACTACCTGGTCACCTTCTCCACCTGAACTTATCACCTGGCAGAGAGTGGATTCCCTCTGAAATACACAGGAAGACAGTTCATTTCAATGCAGCAAATTTAGTTTTAAACTCACTGAGGGCACAACATTTAGAACAAGTTGATTAGCTGACTAACAGAACTGCAGATCAAATATGGCTGACCCACCTGAAAGCTTGACCTTTTCCAAGGCTATTAATCCCCTAAAAGACATTGAAAAGATTCCCCGCGGAAAGCAGTCAGGGGTAAACTTTTTAGTGGGATGGCCATATTTGATCTGCAGATCTGTTAGTCCGAGGATCAACTTCTGTTGTGAAGGCAGTCTAAATCTAAACCATACTATCTACATTGTTAAAATGATCACAACTCATGCCTCTATGAATTTTACTTGAAAATAAAAGTACTTGTAACAAATATATACAGTGCCACATCTGCGATCTGAAAACTGGGAAACAGTGGGGCCCCTGTTTAGAAATATGGAGGACAGAAACTTTCATCAACACTGTTTTCGATGCATGAATGGCACAATGGCACAGCAACACTGTACATACAATTTTGTTGCTTATGCATCTCTCCTTCTGATTAACTTTTCAAAGAAAGACTTCTTTTACCTGTGTAGATTCAACACAAGATGTTTCCACTGGCTGTAACTCTGCCAGCGACATAACTGATGGCTTCAAACAGATCTGAAAGCAAAGCCAAGATATCTTTACTTTTCAAAATATTATATTTTGTTATTTGTCTGTAAATAAACATGCAAGAATAAAAATAATATTAATCAAGCCCGATAATTTATACAATATGTTTTCAAGATTTTTTATTATGGAAATGTCACATCAAATCCATCTTCTGTACACTGAGGCTCATGTACTTGGTGCATATGCATATATCTAACAGAGCACCTTCCAAGGTTCTCTCAACAGCATAAAGAAAAACCTCAGAATGGTGGGCCACAGAGAACCAAATGAATATGGAACATCTACTGTACAATCTAAACAAGCCTTTATTTGAACTAACTTGGGCACTGCTTAGCTTTACAGGCAGGGCATGGATCAGAACATTTTTCCATCTGTGCATACGAAATACAGATCTATCACTCTTCAATGTAAAATTTGCACAGTAAAAATCAAAAATGGGATTCAATTGTTAAATATTACCATTACAACAACAGTGCCTTCAGGAGTCAACCAAAATAAGTTTTACGTGTGCTGCCATGAATATCTGCCAGGATCTCGGCCAGTTTAATATGTGTTAACAGTGTGAATCTGCACTTCCTCATTTTTGCCATATTTCAGGTTATTCGTTTAGAAAATTCATAACAATGTCACAACTGACCACACCTAACTTTTTAATTTTTAAAAAGTTTAAAGCCTTTGAAGAGAGGAACAAAAAACGTTTGTTCTCAGGATATGTGTAAAAGTTAATAATGAAAACTACTGGTACATTTGTACTGTATTATCGTTCTTATCATGAGAACACCATAACAATTCATCACTTTGTTACCGAATTGTAATTATGTCATTGTTAGTCATTAAATCAAAATATACAATTACCTGAATGTTTTCCCTTTACACATGCAGGAAGATATACAGTGACATACACTAACAACTGTATAAAGTGAGTTAATTGTACTTGCTCACAGATTACATTTGGCGCCGTTCTTCATCTCCGTGTGTACAACGTCAGCATTTTATGTGTAGAGAGTCTAATATAGATAATGTTTTCAATAAAAAATGATAAATTCCAAAGAAAGTTTCAACAGTTTTATATTTTTAACAATGCTATCTATTCATCATCTTTCATGTGTCTCAGAAAATATATAAACCACAAGTTCGGCAAGTGTCGAGGAGTATCTTCGGGCAGCGTCACGGATACGAAATAGCCGCCATATTTGAGCAGAAACCGGTTATATCGAGACAATCGTAGAATATCACCATGAGTAAAGCGCATCCTCCCGAGCTGAAGAAGTAAGTACAAAGTAAATGCTAAATGTATACTATGGGGTGCTTTTCATACGAGGATATGAGGTAGAAACAGAATAATTAAGGAATGTTTCTGGTAGCAAACATGGCTGCGCCCATAAGCGAAATGCTGAATACCATACCAAACAAAGAAATGTATTTGTCTTCGGTTTTTAAGTGATCGATCTCTCTCTCTTTCTCTCAGTCTCTCTCTATCTCTATCTCTCTCTCTATCTCACACACCAACGCGCACGTACACACACACACACACCAAGGTTCAGTAACAGTGGATTAATGCCAATAAATAGCCATTTCGTTATATCAAGTTTAGGACAGAAAGCATTTACATTTATTGTATTCTATCGCTTTCACGTCGGTCACCTGAATCAAATGCTCTCGAAAGGCTAGTCTATCTTTATGTAAAAATTCTCAGACTATTGCATTCTTGAAAAAAATTATTTAAATTTCCCTATTATATGTACCCTGTGTTATATCATGCTGTACGTCAGATTGCAAGATAAAAGTGCAAAGTATAAACAGATTGAAGGTTCAAGTACTAGTAAAAACAGCCATCAAACGAACCTCCATCATCAAAGGCTACCCTGAATGTCAAAAGTACATAATTGACAAAAAAATTTTAACAGAAAAGGAATTGGGAATTATGAGGAAAATACAGCATTTATAAAATTTATTTTCATTTTGTACATTATAAGTTTTAGAATGTCCTTCTCATTATTTTGTATGTGCTCAAAAGACATTTTTTTTATATCATCAATAACCTAACACCAGTCTGTGATTATGTCTTTAAATCAAGACCTGCCCCTAACTGAGATGGAGATGTGTTGACGTTTGCATATACATGAATTCTTATTTGTGACCAAAAGATGAAAAAAATTATAACAGAAACTTGCATTTTAAAATGTCTTGAATGAAAGGAAATGGGAATGCTAATATTTTATTTTTATGATTTTTTCAGATACTTGGACAAGAGACTGTCATGTAAGTGATCTTTGTTTATTATAAATAATTTTTGAAGTAGTTAGAGGTATAATGAGTATGTATAAAATACTAGTAAAACAGGAGACAAGCCAGGAAATAATTTCAAGTTTGTTCCTTCCTTACCTTTCTTTCTGCTTTGTGTTTGTAGATTCTGGTTGCTAGAAGGACCAGAAGGTTCAAAAGTATTTTGGCACAAACAGTTATGTCAAATGTTCTTTTACTTGCTCAGGCATGCTATTTTATTTGGAAGGATCATTTTCCCTCTAATTTCCTTAAATTTTCATTTGTCTTATATGTTTTCATCTTTGTTGATTATGTTATTTCACCATTGACATGGGTTGGTATTTCAATTTCAGTGAAATTGAATGGCAACAGGACGGTTACAGGCATACTCAGGGGCTTTGATCCATTTATGAATCTTGTCATAGATGAAAGCATTGAAGAGACCAAGGGTGGAGAGAAAAACAACATTGGCATGGTGGTAAGGACAGGGAACCCAGCCCTTATTATTTCAATTTTTTATTTGTCTGTGGACTTAAATATAGTAGATTTTCTTGTAGTCAAGCATTTATACAGTAATATTTCAGGCTGTTTGTTAATAGTAAGCTTTGATAAATATTTTGAATGCTATGTCTGTTGATGTCACCATCCAACTTGTCATTTGTTCTGTTTTTTTATTTATTGCTTAATATATGTGGCATCTGTGATATTTGTTTTTCTTACCTATGAATGACTAAGGTAAACTGTTCTGTTGAACTTTGTATTCAGTGAACTTAAACACTTAAGTGTTTTTTACCTTTCAATATCTTTTTAGGTTATCCGAGGCAACAGCATAGTACTACTGGAATCACTAGACAGAATATGATACCAAAGAAAACTTTATGAACTAAACCATCTGTAAATATCATCATGAAGACAAACATATGCACAGAAAAAAGACAGGAAGAAAAATATGAATTGAACTATGCCGAGTAGAGATGTGTCAACTCCTGTGTTCAAGTTCCTCATATCATTTCCAACGTTAACTGTACTATCTGGAGAGTTATTGTGCATGTGAAAGTGATCATCACTGAGGACTAAAAAGATGAAGTTATCATGAAAAAAACTGTATAAAGCACTTTTTTGTTTCTCAGTAGATTTTTTTAATAGATGCAGCTTTTAAGTAAAAGAGCAATAGTGAAGGTTGTCGGAAGTTTTCAATTTTCATCATTTGAAAAGAGTTGATTGAGATGACCTGGCAAAAATGAGTTTTGTCTAAGGTCTGCTGAAAAAATTTAGTAGAAGATAAATGTATTTTTTACTTGAAAAAATATCTAATGAAAACTCAGTTCTTCTGTTGTTTTACTTGTCAGTGAATATAATTTAATGCTTCTATTTTTGAGCAAGCAAGGTCTTCATTCGTCTCGAAAAAGCTTGTTACATTTGTCGTCAAAAACGTGACATTTGTAAGATTCGAAGCACATACCAGTTCAATATTGGGACGCGTTTGGCCAGATTCTTTAAACGTTTATCCTATAAGGATCTTTAAATTCGTCGTATCAAAAACTTTTTTTAATGTAAAAATATTGCACACTCCAAATATATACTGTTTTGCAGGTTGGTATGTGCTGTTCTCTTTGACAATTGGGCAATTATTTTGCGTTATTCAATCCTCCGTCCTGGCGGTACATATTGCTAGTAGAAGAACTGTAGCCTCCACCAAACTCGGCTGCATGCTGCACACAGTCCAACTCGCTTATTAGGGGGGCTAAGTCGTTGCCGAAAACGTGGTCCATGAAACCAAAGCCAGATAAGTCCTGAATTTGGTCAGTTGCGTTAGATGGCATATCACATGTTGCCATTGGCACCTGATCGTCCAATAGAGCTTGTGTAAAAGACATGGAAGGAAAGTTGGCGAATGAGTTGGTCTGTTGTTGTTGTTGGCATTGTATTTGATTCAACAGTTGCTGTTGCAGTAGTTGAAGACGTAAAATTTCATTTGCCAGACGCAGATCTTGTGTGGCTGAACTTATTGAAGCAGCCATGCTGGGTTCAAAACTGAGTGTTGGTAATGTCAATTGCATGGGACTGGATGCACCAGTGCTTGCCAGGCCGGTTGATGATGTTCTTCTGGGTTGACAAGAAAGCGGCAATGGCTGTGTCAGTTGAGAATCCTGTTGTTGCTGTTGTTGAGCATTTCTGAAGCCCGCCTGTGATGGTGGCACAGTGTTGTTCTCCAACAGCTGAGGACCTGGATCTAGATGATTAAGTAGATATTATGTATTTTGAAAGAGATTTTGCACGGTGTATGTCTATTTTCCAGGCAATATTTTAAATGTTTCATTACCTAGCAAAGAAATTCATAAAGTGGGTAATGTTAAAGTTACAATAATAGTTTCTTCAAACAAAAGCTAAAATTCAGAGTTCTTACCACTCCAATATTTCAGTGGAGAATCCTGTTGATGCTCCCTGTGTGTCTGTTGTTGTTGCTGTTGTTTTTGTTGCTGCTGCTGTTGTTGATGATGTTGCTGTTGTTGTTGCTGCTGCTGTTTTTGTTGTTGCTGCTGTTGTTGTTGTTGTTCACTTCTGAATCGTTTCTGTGAAGGAAGGTCGTTATCGCCATCCCTCTGCCTAGCACCTGTAGACATATGAAATTAAAATTTCGTTAGCTACATTAGACTATGGCGATTTTATTTTTTAAACAAAGTGACGTCTCTTTGAAAGACATGAAATGTTTTGAATTTGTGTAGTCTTGCGTATGTAGTCCTTTGGGAGGGGGTCCGCAGATGCTAAGCCGACCCTCTCCCCCCCCCCTACCCCCCCCCCCCACTCCCCCCTCTTGGCGTCGGGTTCGGGACCCGCTGAAGAGCCCCAAAAATCTTTGGTATTTTAGAGGGCGAACGGTGCCATTTGGTACGTTTTAGATTTATGATTCAGCTAGTCAAAATTTTAATTACAAGAGGGGACCAGAAACCGAAGGGGGGGGGGGTTCAGGACCCCCGACCCCCCTCTAAATCCGCCACTGTATATCGTAGCCACGCGGGTACAATGTGCTGAAAACAACCACACGATTTAATCAGGTTTGATGCAAAATAAAGCTGCGTTTGTCGCCCCATTCGAAACACTTTCATTATGCCTTTTATGATATAAGAAATGTGCCANGCTCTTTGTTTATTATAAATAATTTTTGAAGTAGTTAGCGGTATAATGAGTATGTATAAAATACTAGTAAAACAGGAGACAAGCCAGGAAATAATTTCAAGTTTGTTCCTTCCTTACCTTTCTTTCTGCTTTGTGTCTGTAGATTCTGGTTGCTAGAAGGACCAGAAGGTTCAAAAGTATTTTGGCTCAAACAGTTATGTCAAATGTTCTTTTACTTGCTCAGGCATGCTATTTTATTTGGAAGGATCATTTTCCCTCTAATTTCCTTAAATTTTTATTTGTCTTATATGTTTTCATCTTTGTTGATTATGTTATTTCACCATTGACACGGGTTGATATTTCAATTTCAGTGAAATTGAATGGCAACAGGACGGTTACAGGCATACTCCGGGGCTTTGATCCATTTATGAATCTTGTCATAGATGAAAGCATTGAAGAGACCAAAGGTGGAGAGAAAAACAACATTGGCATGGTGGTAAGCACAGGGAACCCAGCCCTTATTATTTCAATTTTTTATTTGTCTGTGGACTTAAATATAGTAGATTTTCTTGTAGTCAAGCATTTATACAGTAATATTTCAGGCTGTTTGTTAATAGTAAGCTTTGAAATATATTTTGAATGCTATGTCTGTTGATGTCACCATCCAACTTGTCATTTGTTCTGTTTTTTATTTATTGCTTAATATATGTGCCATCTTCGATATTTGTTTTTTTTACCTATGAATGACTAAGGTAAACTGTTCTGTTGAACTTTGTATTCGGTGAACTTAAGTGTTTTTTACCTTTCAATATCTTTTTAGGTTATCCGAGGCAACAGCATAGTACTACTGGAATCACTAGACAGAATATGATACCAAAGAAAACTTTATGAACTAAATCATCTGTAAATATCATCATGAAGACAAATATATGCACAGAAAAAAAGACAGGAAGAAAAATATTAATTGAACTATGTCGAGGAGAGATGTGGCAATTCCTGTGTCTAAGTTCCTCATATCATTTCCAACGTTAACTCTACTATCTGGAGAGTTATTGTGCATGTGAAAGTCATCATCACTGAGGACTAAAAAGATGAAGTTATCATGAAAAAAAACGATATAAAGCTCTTATTTGTTTCTCAGTAGATTTTTTAATAGATGCAGCTTTTAAGTTAAAGAGCAATGCTGAAGGTTATTGGAAGTTTTCAGTTTTCATCATTTGAAGAGAGTTGATTGAGATGAGATGGCAAAAATGAGTTTTGTCTAAGGTCTGCTGAAAGAAGTGTTTAGTAGAAGATGAATGAATTTTTTACTTGAAAAAATATCCAATGAAAACTCGGTTCTTCTAAGGTCTGCTGAAAGAATCGTTTAGTAGAAGATAAATGTATTTTTTATTTGAAAAAATATCTAATGAAAACTCTTTCTTCTGTTGTTTTACTTGTCAATGAATATAATTTAATGCTTCTATTTTTGAGCAAGCAAGGTCATCATTCATGTTTCGAAAAAGCTTGTTACATTTGTCGTCAAAAACGCGACATTTGTAAGATTCAAGGCACATAGCAGTTCAATATTGGGACACGTTTGGCCAGACGCTTTAAACGTTTATCCTATAAGGATCTTTAAATTCATCGAATCAAAAACTTAATGTAAAAATATTGCATACTCCAAAAATTAACTGTTTTGCAGGTCGGTATGTGCTGTTCTCGTTGACAATTGGGCAATTATTTTGCGTTATTCAATCCTCCGTCCTGGCAGTACATATTGCTAGTAGAAGAACTGTAGCCTCCACCAAACTCGGCGGCATGCTGCACACAGTCCAACTCGCTTAAGTCGTTGCCGAAAACGTGGTCCATGAAACCAAAGCCACATAAGTCCTGAATTTGGTCAGTTGCGCTAGATGGCATATCACATGTTGCCATTGGCACCTGATCGTCCAATAGAGCTTGTGTAAAAGACATGGAAGGAAAGTTGGCGAATGAGTTGGTCTGTTGTTGTTGTTGGCATTGTATTTGATTCAACAGTTGCTGTTGCAGTAGTTGAAGACGTAAAATTTCATTTGCCAGACGCAGATCTTGTGTGGCTGAACTTATTGAAGCAGCCATACTAGGTTCAAAACTGGGTGTTGGTAATGTCAAATGCATGGGACTGGATGCACCAGTGCTTGCCAGGCCGGTTGATGATGTTCTTCTGGGTTGACAAGAAAGCGGCAATGGCTGTGTCAGTTGAGAATCCTGTTGTTGCTGTTGTTGAGCATTTCTGAAGCCCGCCTGTGATGGTGGCACAGTGTTGTTCTCCAACAGCTGAGGACCTGGATCTAGATGATTAAGTAGATATAATGTATTTGAAAGAGATTTTGCACGGTGTATGTCTATTTTCCAGGCAATATTTTAAATGTTTCATTACCTAGCAAAGAAATTCATAAAGTGGGTAATGTTAAAGTTACAATAATAGTTTCTTCAAACAAAAGCTAAAATTTAGAGTTCTTACCACTCCAATATTTCAGTGGAGAATCCTGTTGATGCTCCCTGTGTGTCTGCTGTTGTTGCTGCTGTTGCGGTTGTTTTTGTTGCTGCTGCTGTTGTTGATGGTGTTGTTGTTGTTGCTGCTGATGTTGTTGTTGTTGCTGTTGTTGTTGTTCACTTCTGAATCGTTTCTGTGAAGGAAGGTCGTTATCGCCATCCCTCTGCCTAGCACCTGAAGACGTGAAATTAAAATTTCGTTAGCTATATTAGACTATGGTGATTATATGTTTTAAACAAAGTGACGTCTCTTTGAAAGACATGAAAAGTTTTGAATTTGTGTAGTCTTGCGTATGTAGTCCTTTGGCGTATGCACGTATATCAGGGGCGGATCCAGGACTATTTGAAGGGGAGGGGGTCCGCAGATGCTAAGCCGACCCTCTCCCCCACCCACTCCCCCCACTTGGCGTCGGGTTCGGGACCCGCTGAAGAGCCCCGGAAATCTTTGGTATTTTAGAGGGCGAACGGTGCCATTTGGTACGGTTTAGAACTATGATTCAGCTAGTCAAAATTTTAATTACAAGAGGGGACCAGAAACCGAAGGGGGGGGGGGGTGGTGGTCAGGACCCCCGACCCCCCCTCTAAATCCGCCACTGTATATCGTAGCCACGCGGGTACAATGTGCTGAAAACAACCACACGATTTAATCAGGTTTAGTGCAAAATAAAGCTGCGTTTGTCGCCCAATTCGAAACACTTTCATTATGCCTTTTATGATATAAGAAATGTGCCGGAGAAACTGCACACGTTCTTTGCTGGCCAATGCATCGGTTACTTTTTTCTTTCGTTTTTTTAAATGAATACGGAGAGTTTTTCTGTATCAATTGTATAGCAATTATACGATAATTATATTTATTTCTTTAAAACCGCACTTTCCATGCGTTTCAATGCTGTTAACATATAAATGAGAGACAAAAATAATAAGACCTTAAATGATAAATAAATAAAGACGACATAAAATTAATACTGTAAATTATGATATTATGATATAATATTAAGACATGCACTGAAAGGATGTTGAAGCTTAGTTTTATGATGAGAGGAAATTGTTAAATCAGTCTAAATATTGTAAGAATAAAAATGTTATAGATCTTTTCAAAAAATATCAGCGAAAGCTCCCCTTCTTATAAGTTGAGGTGGCTGATTCCGTAGAAAAATATGGAGAATGCCCCGTAACCGTAGATGTTAAGTTTTTCTTTGCCATGAATGAACAAGTGGTCCTGATAGCAGCGGTGAGATATCAGATATGACTGATAATCGCCAATATAACAATATTTCAGCTACGTTAGTTGTAAAAAAAAATAGAAGGCCTCGATAGGCCTATTCTTGAAAAATGCGGTAGTTTATGAAGGCGACGTTGTTGATGCAAGTCAGTGGGGACGACTACGTGCAAGCTGAAGAAAACGCGTGTGCACGCTGTATTTTAAATAAGGGAAACTGTTTGAGTCTCGATCAAAATCTATTTCGTGACATCTTTGGCGCCAATATTTTTATAATGTTTTACATCACATTTCTTCCAGGTTTTTCACGACGAAATTATCGATGGCAGACATTTGATTTAAGCTTAGCGTGCAGCGAATCTTAAAAAACTTAACGTGTAACTGAATTTTTTATTCGAAAATTTAAGTAATGCTCTATGGACCATAAGTTAAGGGGATATAAGCGGGTCTCCTAATCTTACCCACGTGTAACTGACCATCGGAGAGGATGCAACATACTGTACGCACCTGTTGCTATTGTCAGCTCTTGAAAGGGCTGTGGCACTTTCGGCTGATCGGAGCAAGTGGACGTAGAAAACTGGTTGTCAGTATTAACGCTTGGTAAAACTGGCGTCGGTTCCTCGGTTGTCGTTTCCTCTGGTGGCTTCAAACTTTGCAATTCAGTGCATTTGGATTGACAGCCTTGGTGATCTGTGCCGGTACTTGGAAATAATGTGGTCGATCCCTTTGCACCTTCCGGAGCTAGAAGTTCATGATTATATTTATAACAAGATTAATTTTCTTTATGTCATGCTTCTCTAACTCTTTATGTTTTTTTTCTGTTTCGCATTTCATACTTGTTGTAAAAAAATATGCAGTCCCTACAGTGCGATATATCGGCTATGAACATTCATTATTTGATTTTTTTTTACATAAAAAGTCTAACTTTCGTGTTGAATTTGATAGACATTATACGGGTTAAGTATATCAACTTCACAATGGCATGATTGAAAAGGCCAGTCAGAGTTTTATTGGAACCCCTCCTCCCACTTACAAGGGGACATAAGCAGCTTTTCGACTCAACCGGCCAGCGAAAAATAACACAGAAAATAAAAAGAAAATAAAAAGACCACATGTGTCAAGAAATGGCACACAGCGCCCCCAATATTTCACGGCACAGCCAGAGACAATTCGTTCAATTATTACTGAAAGGACCCATTTATGTATATATACACTAGCGTATAGGCTAAAACATCCTTGGCATTTGAAAGGGTGAAATTACCAATTTTATCTATCCACATTTGAAATGGTAATACACATTTAGGATTCAGTCAACTGCGTAATGTCACTTAACTCGCGGAACACGCATAAATAAGCGGACATATTTTCTCAAGAAAACGGAACAGAAATAAGATATTTTGTAATAGCGATGGTATAAGAAGCGGTATTCTGTGAGAAATGTATACTCTTTTATGTATCCGTCTAAATCACTCACTCGCATGTCTGATATCTAGAATGATTTTAAATCATCAAAAAATATAGCCTACATATCCTGTTGCTATCTTTTTATTTGCTTGAAAAAAATCCCCAGGCAAATTACATGGTCTGTTCCAGATGTTAAGGATTTGGGGTTAATCAAATGGATTTAAGGCAGACAGATCGGATTCACAGACATATATATACTTACGCGTGTCTAAGTCACTTTTGCTGTTCTTCTGTACCCATTGTAATTGTTTGGCGACCAGTTCAAATTGCTCTTGTTGTTTCGACATAATCTCTCGCAAATAGCGATGTTTCTGAAGCAACTGCTGGTGTAGCTGCTTCTGGGCTGGTGTGAGGACGAGATCGGCCTTGCCACACTTGAAAATATTATATAAAGTATTGTAAAGAATATTGCAAGGTCAAGGATCACCAAATTAATAACGAAACTAAGTTTGCAAAAATGCTCTAAAACGATTTTTAAAATTTGAAAAAGTAATTGGAAATATGACAGATTGTCACTGTTTGATGAGACACTGGAAAGAAGATATAGCAATGATTGTCAACGATAGCAATATGATGCTGGCAACATTCGAAGATGACATTACACTGCATTTTACATTATCTATATTATCATGTTACATATACAAAATTATTTGGTTAAATCAACATTATGATGTGTGCCACGACCATGCAAAATCGAAATCGACTTTTGATTGTCCTTTACAATTAAGTGACACAACGAAGTCTTTATTGCAACAAAAGGCGGTGAAACCCTACTGATTTGCCATAGCGACGCAATAAAGCCAACCGAAATTGTAAACACACACACACACATACACACAAAATATCATTTTCAAGATGGTAACGTTTAATTTTGTTACGTTTGAAAATGTGTTCAATCCATGTCCATGTAATCTCTATGTATTCCCTTATTTATCAATAAGACGGATAGTAGTGATGGACCATGATGAATAGTTCAGAGATTTTAATTTTCATTTCAAATTATTACCGAAAGCTATCACCTCGGAAATCCTTGGGGGGGGGGGGGGGCACATCTTTAAATTTCTTAGGGTCTAAATTGGCTGTCTTTCAAAAGGTATCTTTTTACATGAATTTCTTTACTCAGGTTCCCCATAGTTAGGTTAACTTTATATTTTCCCCAAGTATGATAACAGCGTTTGTAACCAATTTGGTGTAAGCTATGACGAAAACAGATATCTTTTATCGTCCCAGCATCAACAATATTTAAAATATAAGGATGTGACGAAGTTAATAAAAAGGTAACGATGGTTTTGTAAAAAGGAAATTTCAACCCAGATAGACTAAATAAAGACACTCCTTTTTTACCTTCAAAACAAAATTTTCTGAACCAGCCTTTTTATATTGAGGGTATGCCACACATTTAATTTGAATTGTAATTTGCTTTCCTTTTTTCTCATTAACATTGTTTTATTGTAAACATTATTTACACTAATAGTAAAGGTGTGTTGTTTATTTAAAAATGCAGAGAGTACATTTCTAATTCTGAGATAATTGTGCTTTCTCAGTTCATTGACAAAAATAACAATACAGCAGGCCATGTTTAGAAATAAAAAACAGAAGATAGTGAAAAATGTATGATGGGCGGGTACAATAGCCTGTCATTATTATAGATTAAAGAAAATACTGCAAATCTCTGTAGAGCTTAAGATGTCTTTTTCTCATATGCGCACTATATAAAACTGTGGTAACAGAGAGGTAAAATGGTCTCTCAGAGATTTTCTCAATGATTTTTCTGGAGAAAATAGGGCCAATTCATAAAAAAAAAAAGAAAAGAAAATCGCTCGGGGCTAGCGTGCTACAAATCTATTTGTTCTGCCTATTAAAAACCACGTAAACTATGATGTGGGCTATATGTTATTCTAACGACGCGCTTTTCTTTTAAAAAGTGTCTCACGCGTTAACAGTGTTAGTAAAACTAAATACATGGAGCATTTTTCTTCTAATATTGCCCTAAACATGAATAGGCTCTATAAGTAAGAAAGTTACATAAGGTTAAAACTTGGGCTGGCTGCCAACTAGTTTACCCTAAACTATAAGTGTAATCGTGCTGCATGTGACATAACAAAGACTAAATTGTACTGAATGAGACCACGGTATACCCACCATTCTTGAATTACCATTATTTTTCATTTTCTTCCTCAACTTTAACCTGGCGGATATAATTTATCTTAATGTATTGGTGCGAGAACATTTTTTTTTTTTACTTCTTTCGCGATTAAATTGAATATAAAGATGAAGACCATTTTTTTACAATTTTATATCATACAATGATAATCTATAAATATGCGCAATAAACATACAATAAAAATTGAAATGGTTGATTAGCGAGCCAGAAATCAAACCGAAAAGTAAAACTTTAGTGTAATGTCAATTACACAAAGGCTACAGTCGTACGCTTTGTTGGTGCCAAAAAAGGGAGGAAATCTCATAGTGAGAACCTATGTCTCTAGTTTCCAACATGCGTGATGGTATTCTCATACTCCCCTGGTAGCTTTTTATGTGCTACCACACCTTATGTAACCCCACGCCTCCAGCAGCAAGGGCATTTTTTTAGATGAGGGGTGGGGAGAGAAAATGCCCACTTTATCAATTTGGTACCAAGTATATCAATATATTATATATCTTTAAGGAGGCAAGGGATGGTGCAATCAATTTCTGAAGTCAAACATTCATGACAGTTAGTCGTGGGTCATCGATGATGGGTTAAAGGTCAAATTTTGATAAATTTTTTCACATAGATAACAGATGGTTACGTTTAAGGCAGTATGCAATTTTTATAACATAAAAAGGTTTATAACATAAAAATTTAGCGTTTTTTTTTCTTTTAGTTCTTTAGTAACAAATGGCCGACAAGGCTCCATTATAACAAACTGTGGCGAATGGTTTCTGTGTAAAAATATGAAAATATAGTTCTTTGAATTTTTTCGAAAATTATCAATATATGATTGGCAAAAAGTATAGAGTGCGTAAGTGTTAACTTTTTAATATACTATCTTTTCAGTATATATTTATACTGTCTAAAATGAAACGCTGCATGATGCAGAAAAAATAACATGCTGTCCACTCACCTCAGTTAACGTTAGCGTTTTGCTGTTAGAGGATATGGCCGTCCTCGGGGAAGACGAAATGTTTGGTGTAGATGACATAGAGCTGACTTCAACTGCAGAATTGTCCGTCTGTATTGAAAATGAATTATTTCAGCTACAAAACCCAATCTTTTTTTAACTCTACAAAGGGCAAGCATAAACCAGGAGGACTGGCTATTATTTACTGAGTGCAACTTGATTGGGCCTCTGACCTAGGTAAAAGTTTTTATAATAGTTATTAAAATAGTTATAGTTATAGGACATACTGTATCTGAAGAATTGAGAAAAAGAATAGACAAAAATACATTGTGGGCCTTACCCGTAACGTACACTAAATGTGCAGTCATGATTTGTTGCGCCCGCGCGCGCGCACGTGTGTGTGTGTGTGTGTGTGTGTGTGTGCTTGCTTGCTAGACCACTAGCATGTGAGCATGTTACTGTCTGCTTCGTATTTTTGACGAAACTATATTTGTTCAAAATAAAGATGCATTGCATTTCTACTATTGAACCACATGGAAATTAAAAAAGCTATAGCAACAGAATGTATTTTTGCGTTCTTGGATTGATAATTGTTCTAAGTAACATCTTTCGATATACAATATTATGATCAAATGTGTCAGTCTGTGTAATGCCTTTAAAACATAAATATGACCTAGAAATAAAGAATGGTTGAAAATAGACTTCAGAACTGTAGTATTTCTTATACAAATTTATATCTTTTGGACACATAAAATTATGACTGTCTGGCCATGAGCTGTCTAGCGGTTTCAAGTTGCGGACTTTCAAGACCACACGATTTCGCCTTGTGTAATTTCTGTAAAAAATGTCCCTAGAGCTTACTACTCGTCTCTCTATTATCTATCTTATCTACCTGTAACCTTACTGCAAATTTTTATCACTGCATTCTAAGTAGCGCGATTCCTAGAGAAACATAAAACAAAGTGAAAACCTGACAAGACACAAATGATTTTCGAGGTTGGAAACTTGATAATGCTTTCCTTTTTACATTGTACCATGATCGGAAACGTTTATGGTCATTTTATGAATCCGTATTTCTATCACAAAGGATGTGAGCGTGTTACGGTCTGTTCCGTATTTTTACTAAAATATATTTGTTCACAATAAAGATACATTATACTTCTGCTATCGAACCAAATGGAAATTAGAAAAGCTATAGCAACAGAATGTATTAGAAACGTTCTTGGATTGATAATTGTTCTAAGTAACATCTCACGATATACAATATTATGATCAAATGTCTCATGCCTTTAAAACATAAATATGACCTAGAAATAAAGAATGGTTGAAAATAGACTTCAGAACTACTGTATTACTTATACAAATTTATATCTTTTGGACACATAGACTTATGACGTCTGGCCATGAGCTGTCCAGCGGTTTCAAATTGCAGACTTTGAAGACCATACGATTTCGCCTTGTGTAATTTCTGTAAAACATGTCGCTAGAACTTACTATTCGTCTCTCTATTATCTATCTTATCTACCTGTAACCTTGATGCAAAATTTTATCACTGCATTGTAAGTAGCGCGATTCCTAGAAAAACATTAAAAAAAGTGAAAACCTGACAAGACACAAATGATTTTCGAGGTTTGAAACCTGACAATGCCTTCTTTTTTACATTGTACCATGATCGGAAACGTTTTATTGGTCATTTTATGAATCTGAACTTCTATCGTAAAGGACAATGAGCGCGTCATTATCCTTTGCGATAGAAGTATTGTTTGGGTAGGCGTTTTGATTTAACGAATGCAAAAATATAACCGATAACTTGCCAAGTAAAAAGATGTTCTTAAAAACTCCTTTTGCAAGGTAAAAATTGAGTTTCAACTTGATAATGAGATGGTCAGTTAGAAGTTGAATTGTCGATGAATAGTCTATTTTTCTTGCGACAATATTATAGGAAATAAAAAAGTAAATGGTTTAAAAAGTAACGAGCATTAGAAAATTACTATTTCTTTTCAATACTGTTTAATTCATTTAGACAATTGAGTAAGAAGTATCAGAATAAAACGGGCCCGTAGCCAGCAATTTCAAAAGGGGTGTTCTTTTTCTGAAAAAGTGGACCTTTTACCATGAAACCTTCATGTACCTAGATAAAATTTTACCCAGCAAAAGGGGGGTTCTTTCGAACCCCCCGAATCCCCCCTGGCTACGGGCCTGATAAAAAGTTATAGGCCTAGTCTGTTAATAAGGGTAACTTTCTAAGGCCAGCGTTGACCCCCAATGTTGAATTCGATATTGTGTTACTTGCTGAGCCAGCCAGGCCCTAATATAATTTCATTCTCCGGTTTATAATGTTGTGTTTTATACATAAATACCTACTCTTGTTGAGCTGTTTAGTTTCTTCTTGGATTCACCGCTATTTTTCGCAACGGAATCATCCTCACTGCCAGGCTTTTTCCGCAAGAGCTCGATCAGTAACTCGTTTCGAGAATGGGGAAACCGAGTCGTCTTGAAGTCCGATGGCATTTTGTGTCTGGTTATCGGCGATTTCCAGCCCAACTACCCGGGTTCAGCGTGATATACTAGTAAGTTCCTCTTTGAATGACGCAGCAAACAATGAGAGTTCCGTATCGCTATGTAAACACAGACCACACTACAAAGACCTGAAAGACTAAAAAGAAATGTACACCAAGGCAAACCTCTCGATGTCATTGGACAAAAAGACTTTAAATGTAATTGAAATTAGAAATATGTTAGCCTAGGACGCCAAGTGAAAAGAAAGCTTTGGTTGTAGTAAGCCAATAAGACACACGTGTGCAAGATGAAGGTTAACTTGACGTGGCAAAGTTGAACTTGACTTGTTAGAGGAGTACGCAGGCAAAAGACTGCACGACCTGGAATGCGTTTGCCCTCTCTCTGGTAAAGAAAACACACACGTACGAGCGCGGTTAATAGTGATCTGTCGATCACCTCATCCGCTTAGATAACGCAGAAAAAATATTGTTATGTGATGAGATAATGTTGTCGCCTCAAAATTATATCGGGGTGAATATGCTGATTCGAGCTGATGACGTAACGGGTTTTTTTTTTTTCGGTGAGAACTGTAATTACGATTCCAAACAGATTGTATTCTTAATGATAGGACCACAAACATTTTAGTTCATGATTTCATTTATTACCAATACGACGTGTAGCGTCTAGCAATAAAATATGTTATAACAACACTGAGGCACGACATCACTTTTATAACTCTCAGCGCGTGTTACTGCCAAAAAGTCTGTACAAGACAGAAAATAGATGGATCCGATGAACACCTTGTCCCATTATCTACCTCTGGTTCAGACAGACATAATGACGTTTGTCGGTAAAGAAGAATGTATTGGGTTACTGCATTCTAGTTTTGCTTCAAATGTATCTCATTTTTTTACGTAATAAGAGAAAGAAGAAATAGTTGACAGGACAGGTGTTTGACATGCACGCTGACTATACACACGCATACAAAGTCGACTGAATGCGTTGTCGATGGTTTCCTAACCAGGGCCTGTTTCACAATAGAAATTTAGCCCGAAAATAGTTCGCACTAAACTTAAAGACCACTATAAGGGGCCGTTCAGAATGGGTTAGGTCGGAAAAGTGCCTGCGCACTAATCCCCACAGGTGTTTCTGCTGTCACACGATCGATATCCAAATGCGATATATAAAACAGCAGTCAGTCAGCAATAAAATTCCAATAAGCTGTAAGTCACAGCCAGAGGAACAATAACCACCAAAGTATAGGCAAAGTTCCATAAATTGTCTGCCTTTCAGATTCTCAACTTCAGCATAATTTTATGACATTTTGATGCAAACATCGACTAATTCATTTTGAACAGCTTTTTTTAATGTCACCTGAAACATAGACGTAGCCCCCCCCCCCCCCCCCCCCCTCCGAGCCACTTACACCAGCAAAAAAAAAAATTGAAAATTCAGTAATTTGACTGACCGAAATCTATAAAGTTTAGGAATTTTTTTGTGTAAATATAGGAACAGTGTAAAAATTCTAAGATAAAATTTGGGTATTTATCTAAAGCTTTTTTTCAAAGTTTGGGGTACGAGGGTTGCTATAGTTTTAAGATGTTGTTAATTGACAGGGTTCCTGCAAAGGGTCATTTATTATTTTATTTTCCGGGCACCTTAGGTACTAGTAGTTTGTTTTATTGACATTTCAGCGCTGTGTTGGAGTGCAATACGTCATTTATAACACCAACTATTGCAATTCGATGCAACTCACTGTCAATTAATTTAATCCATATAAAAACTGAAAATGCATTCTGTTTATAGTTTAAGGGATAACAAGTGCTCATTTTAGCCAAAAAAAAAAAAAAAAAAAAAAAATGGATTTTCCTGGGGTAAAGAACAATTTTCCCGTACTTACCAATGGTTAATGAATCCATTCCGACATTCATAGTTAGTCCCTGTTATTATTATTAATTTTTTTTTCTAAAGAGTTTGGTTTTTTGTAATATTCTCTTAAGAGATTTTTACAAAGTGTAGCCATCTATGGAGGTCACGTGACGTGATGGCAAACACAAATTCCAGAATTATTGCGTTAACTGCCGTTTTGGTGGTAAAAAAGAATGTATTATATTTCTGTGGGTTGTTTACAATGTATTTATTGTAAAACATGGATTTCAAACGAACAGTTGTCATCCCTTTAAGAATCCTATCAAATGCAGGTTCTCAAAGCAAACCGAACCACTGGGTTCAATCGGCCATCTATCAACATGTGGGAATGGGATCTATTATAGACAACTCAGAATAAAGAAATGCCGAGTGTAGAGAAGCAAACATGTAGGTCTCCTCATTAACCCAAACGAAAGTTAAAGTAAAGAACAAGCACAAGTATGCTGTTCGAAATTTGGGCGGTGACGGCCGCTTTTATTGATTGGTCCCTCTAGTAAAAGAAATGATGTTCAGTTTTTATATAGCATTAAATGATGCTGAGTAATGAAAATTACGTAATGTTACAGCAAAAATAATAAATATCCAAACAAATAGTGCACGTATTTTCATTTGAGGGGTTGCATTTCAATCTATTTTTTATATCCAAATTTTATGACTTTTTCCCTGCATATAATGTAAAAATTATCTCTTTTCTTACAAACATTAAAAAACTCCCCAACTCAAAACTTACATTTTTGACTTTATCTTGACAATAGCAACACCGAGGAATATAGAAGTCTCTCTTTAGATTACGTGGAAGTATATTAATTTTCTGTCTTTTTCCTCTGTTCATCAAGGAGTACTCCTTAAATAGACTCTGGTAAGACTCAACTGAGCCAATTTCCGTGCAAAATTTCCCACAACTATTTGTATATCATGGACACAGTTTTGATTAAGGGGTAGCTCCTCAACGGATCGCTTTCATCCTTTGGTTTAAGTATATTTTCCCGACAAAATTCCAAATCTTGTATCGAAAGTAATTAACTAATCACAAGCAGTATCAACCTTCGCATGTGATGCCGTACGTCTAATCGAGTCGTTCCAAAATGATCCATTTTGTATTTTACCACTATTAAATCCTGCCCGAGGTTTTTGCGTCATATCTAATAATCGTCGCGAAAAAAGCAGTCTTCTAACTTGAACATTGCTCGAGCCGTCCCTACACTTGAATTCGATGTTCTATGCAATTTCAAATTAAAAGACATTTAAGAATGCCATCGTCTTCCAGACATTGTAAATTGAAATATCGACACCAGGTACCTTAATTTGAGAGGTCCGCATTGAGAAAGAGAGAACTTTGCAGGATATTAAGGCCCTAGACGAAAATATGGCCAAGGGACATTTTCAAGTATACCTTTATTATCTGTTACAAAAGGAGATCAATGGCATGACTGCAATTTCCTCAAAACACGGTATTTATAGGATCTTAATAACAATAGTGTCGTCACTGGGGGGTCTAATGCCTAACCAAAACTCCAACAGGTAACTTTCTTGACACCCGTAGATGAATGTGGAGACTTTCAGGTGAGCGATTGTGTGCACACCTGTTTAAAAGCGCGTTTTCTCGTTTTTTGAACCGTGTCTTATAAGATTTTGGGATCTCGGCTGGTTCACCAGCAGCTCAGTTTAACACTTAACATCCAATAATAGACTGAAATAAAGCTCTCGTGTTACGGAGTTTAAAATGTGGTTTTATTCTCGCCAACCGTCGTATATACATAATATACAGTTACCCAATGGGATATACGCTTCTGTAACACCACACACCTGGGAAGAGGTTCAGGGAGCGTGACCCTGGATCACAACCATTCCCCTTTGTGCAATGATCATACATAACATGCTCTGCTGCACGTGCATACAAGCTCCACTACAGACAGACACATACATCTATCCAGCTAGATATATATTTATAACAAGGCTCAAGTTTGAAAGCTAAGTTTTGTTTTCCAGTTTCCAAAGTTAAACCTTAATATTCCAGTTCGCCTTTGTATACTATATTTGGATGCAGCATGGTTGTATATGAAACACATAAACATTTAATAATTATAATAATGAACAGTCATATGTATTATAGAGACAAAAGTGGTAGCAGCAGTAGCTTCGTTGTGAAAATCAAGAGAAAGTATAATATGGACTTAAAAAATACTGAAACTGAAAGAGCAGCATTGATTAAATTGCTGGGAAAAAAATAAGGGCATTCTACTTGGGCAACAAACAATTTCAATGTGGCAAGTTTCAAAGTATTTCTGACCACAGATCCTATTTTATCAGAAATTATCATATTGTCCATAAAGTAAAAGAACAATGGGCTACAGATTTTGGGAACAATCGGCAGCCCCAATCTGTCACTAAGACAAGGGTAAACTAGACATTTAACCTTGGGTCCAGAATTGGTGCTGTTACACAAGTATATGGATTAAGGAGAGCCACTACAAACGTGACTTAACTGAATAAAAAGGCAAATACCAAGCATTTTTGTCTATTTAGTACCCTCACTTAAAGCTACTGGTTTTACTCAACTGTTAATACTATACATCACCACCATTTTTCTAAGAATTTCAAGGCTGAAAATTAGGTCAGATTCATTATTCAGATCTTTAATGGGCAAACTGAAAAAAAAAAAAAAAAAAAACTCTTCTCATTTAGTTTTTTCCTATTTTTCTGTTTGCCCCTTTAGCTTAACTTTTGGGAAACCAAACAATATAACACTGAAGATAATTCAAAAGGATTGAATAAATATCATTAACAGCATGCAGACAAAAAGGAAAAGAGTTATATATGTTCATCTCCAATTTTTCACTTTTGGGTAAAATTACATGCATATGAAAGTAAACAATGACTTAAATTTACATCTCAATGTTTTTTCAGTATTTGAATGAGGAATTTCACTGCTGGAATAAAATATGCTATAGCACAGATCAGTATAAATATAAAGAATTTGCTGTAACCCTCTTATCTGCAAGCAGTATAGTTAGCTATATCTATTGTTATGATATGATTTTTTTCAGAGATTTCTTTCAATTTTAAATAATAATATCACACAAAGCCAGCACCAGTTTGAAATTTTTCATTCATCTTTCAAAAACTAACTTAAAGAAAGAAGAGAGAACACTTCAACAACAGTACCCAATATTAGTTTACTAGCATTGCCCATCATTTTCCGTCTTTCGATACTACCCTATCTGTGTGTTGTAGATATAAAACAGTCAGGTATATCCTTATCTGACAACAAGATCTGTTTGTCAATTAAAAGCTAACAACTGGGTAAACAAATCTTCAGTTGGGAAGGGGTAATTCAGAAACTGAGTTTTCCATTTGCAATCATCTAATCATCTCTCTCCATTATGGACTACACCTAGCAAGACATGCAGTCCTGTAAAATTGCACATGTTACTGATTTGGTTGAACTGCAGCAAGAATGTCATCAGGTTCTGCTGTTCTTCTGGCTTGTTTCTTTTTATCTGCAGCAGTGTTCTTTATAATAAGGTTAATATATTTTATGGGTGGCCTTTTCATTAAGCTTTCCAGAGCGTCTGCAATGCTCCAGAGAGGCAATGTAGGTAGGACATGGTATTCCAGCTGATCAGGCTTGGCATTGCAACAGAATTGTCACCAGAACCAGCCACTTGCCTAAAAAGAACAAAAAAATTGCATTTAAAAAGGGGAACAGAAAAAAAAAAAAGATCGATCTTTTTAATGCAGTCGATATCACTACAACCAAAAATTACATCATGCATTAAGAAGTAAATTACACACAGAAAGCACACTACAAATCCAAACCAGTTAGTGAAAAAAGGTTAAGTTTTCAGGACATTAGAGAGGTGAAGGAAACTGACTCACATGTATGTACATAACCTAGCTGTACCTGTAAGACAGGTTTTACAGCCTAACATGTACAGGTATGCTATCTTTACCCCATTTAAAAAGTTAAACACTTTAACCTACATGCAAGAGAATGTGTCTTTTTATCGACTAGTTTCATCCAATGAAATCTTAAGAAAAAAGCGCATGGGAACATGGAGCATATTGTGGTAAATGCAGAAGTATTACTCACATCTCTAGAAGATGATCTGAAGAGAGACCAAGTGTTACACAGATTTGAAAAGTTAACAAATAAAGTTTTTTTTTTTGTTTCACAAAGCTGACATCCCATCTAGTTGCATCAATACACAGCAGATACTAGTAGCACAAAAAGGTGTGACATAATATACTAGGAGAAAAGAGAAATCCCACTTTACCCACACATGTACACTCAAGTTTCCTGAACCTCTCTAATACAAAATGGCAAGGGCATCAAAATGAAGGTGGTTCATCCAAGCAGAATTAGAAAAACTAAGCAGAAAGCTAGAAACTAGACAACAAGGCTGTCAAATATACAGACAAATAAATATTAAGATTCACTGCATTCCAGGTAAGAAAAATGCTTCCATATTATAATAAAATAAAATAATTAAATGTTGTTCTGAAATATTGCAGCAATTTGTACATTAACACAAGATATGGTTTTAGTGAAAAAGTGTGTATAAATACATTAAAAGGAGGGTTACCTGTTTACATAAGTGCATCAAAAGGATTGGCCATGTAAACAATTCTTTTTAAAATGTCCTTGCATAAAAAAATATTATCCTTTTAACCTGCATATTTAAAGGACCCTCAAATTCCTTCATATTGTTTATCTGGATAATGCAGAAATATCCAGAAAATACAAAAATTTATATTCTAAAAAACCTGTTGCATCCAGATTTATACACATTTTACCTGAATGTTTGACTGAACAAGTGGAAACATTTAAACAACTTAAACATAAACATACTGCGACGTGCTGATTTTGACCCAACTTTTCAAAAAAAAAAAAAAAAAAAAAAAAAAAAAAATCTTCAGTAAATTTGCAAAGAAACAAAAACATGTTCAGGCAGTTTCATGATTTGGATCATTACAAGAAAGGTGATGCCATAGCAAGGCAGAAGCCATCAATACTTGTACAGATAATAAGTGGGTCTGTATAACCACTAATACAAGGAAGTAGGGGCTATCATACACGTAAAACACACATCCCAAAATAAGTAACACACATCACATTTCTTTATGCTCAAGTGAACTTGTAGCTTGATGGATTTAGATAAAAAATATATTCAGTTGCATTTGTGTAACATGTAACCAACAGACCCATGTTCTGAATGTAACTAAATTCTAGTTTAGAAAATAGAAAGAGCTGAAGATAAATTTCACATTGTACTCCATACTCTTCCTTTGTGCAAAAAACGAAGGAATGGCAATCTACACCAGTTTTAGGTTACTTACAGTGGTTGCTTAAGCTCTGTTGTAAACAGTATGCTACAGTGCTCTTGTTACAAATTCTCATGTAGGATTCTTTCTGTGAAAATCTAACATCTAAATGTTCTAGAAAGAAATGATCTTGCTTTGTTGGACAGGGTTACTAACAGGGATTAGAACTATTGTTATTCTTTTTGTTCAAAAGCGAACAATGTACATTTATTGACTTTGGTTTGGCAAGGTTCGACCAGAAACTGGGCTAATTGACCCACATTGAGGGCAGAGGTCAATTACCCCAGGTGAGGGTTGAACCTAGCCAAGGGGTGACCTCTCCAAAGTCAATAACTAAGGTTCAGATTCAGAGATTCAGAATAGCAAATTCTAAAAAAACATAATATGCATGGATAGCCCCTCAGAAACAAAGATAGACATGCTAAGACATGTAGAGTGGACACATAACAAAAAAGCACAAACCATGCCCTACTAAATGAAACAGCATTAGTTCAGGTTACATTCAAGAAACCACATAGAACCAGTCAATACTATTATGAAGAAAATGAACCACTCACATACAATTTAAACAACTAAAATTACTCATTTTAATTTTTTTTTTTTATTTTTTAATTTTTTTTTTTGCAGGAAAGTTTTTTTTTTCTCCTATTCTAAATTAGGCATATTTCACCACACTAGATATAACTGATGGTACATGGTAACAAGTATTACTTATGTTATTTCATATCAGAAAGGTTACAAAAGCTGTCCTTTATTCAAATTCTGCTGCTTCATATTTGATTTTTTTAAAAATTATTTTTGTTGAATATAATAATTATTTTGATAGAAAACAATAATTTTGTAAGATTTGCTCTGGGTTAACTGATACGCTTGTCAGAAAAGGAAGGGGCAGACATAAATTTCAGAAGATTAGTAATATTTTCACATTTAAACATTCTGTAATGCAAGCCAATGTACAAGCAGCCATTGGTTCAAATATTACTTTCACAACATCATTTGTTAACACTACACTTAGGCTGCGTTCACATGAAAAATCTATTTTCTAAACATCTCTTTGTGGTATCTTGTGATCACGGTCTGTGCCCTGAATACCCCACGGCGTAATTACGGGCAGCGCGAGCCATTTTCTCCCAAAGCTGTAATTAATTCTCGGCGCTGCCAGTAATTACGCTGCGGGGTATTCTGGGCACAGACCGTGATCACAAGATACCGCAAATAGATTTTTAGATTTTTAGAAAATAGATTTTTCATGTGAACGCAGCCTTAAGTGCAAACAACAAATGGCTTTTTTTTTTTTAGGTATAAAAGTAGACTTCCAGTAAGTGGTACAGTACTAATCTAAATACTACTTAAAACTTTTCACAGATCCTCAAAGTATAAATAAGGTACTAATGTATAGGATAAGGACACACACCACAATGTAGACAACTAGCTCCAGTTTGAGTATGATGATGATGTTGTTGCTGTGCGCCGAGATGCTCGAGTGCGAGGCAGGGTTCCGTAATGAGCAGCCTGAGGAACAAACAAGGGGAACAAACAAAAATGAAAAAAAAGTTTTAAAAATCCTGGAGGTAATCTACAAACCTTGTCCCAAAATGCACAAATATAAAAACATACCTCAGCAAGTCATGCCCTAGTTCATGAAAAGGAATTAGTTAAAGTAAACATTTCATGATGTTAAGTCAATACCTATTATCACATCATGCCTTAAATATTTCATCTAGAAATATTCAATTCATCCAAAAAACATGGAAAATACATGCAATCTATGGTGACCATCTCAAGATTTCTTTGCTTAAATTTCAAAGTACAAAAATATAACAAAAAATTTCTGCAAAGATCCAGCCTAAAATAATATGTATATTAAAGATTCAAAAGAGTTCTTTCATGTTTTTTTTCTGGTTTTATGATAAAAAATGGTTTGTAACATAAGTCATATAAAAAAAAAAAAGACAAAAGGAAAGCAGTTACAAAATCCTATACAAGAATGTATTATCTAAAATACATTCTTGAGATGGTCCCCCACTTTCGCAGCAGTGGAGTTGCAGTATACCATTGTTCATTTGGTTGAGCCTTCTGTGAAAGATTTTGACTTTCGTGTGATCCTTCGCAACTGGAAACGTGCAGCTGACAGTTCTGTTGGGGCCTTGGGTGAACAAAATCTTCATCTATAATTTTTGCATTCTTCTTAATATGTAAAGACTGGGTCTGAAGTTTGTGGCATAGGGCATTTTCATGATGACTTTTTGGGAATTTAATTTGTAAGATTTAAAGAACAAGGCAGTAAAGCTGTTAAATGGACAGACATAAAACTGACAACAGAAGTGACATTAAGACAGACTTAAGTCTTATTATGTATTACTCTTACTCTGGACATCAGAAAAAATAACTACCAATGGGCTCTTTTTACATGGAAAGTCAAGCACAAACCTGGAAAATGCTAAGTTGTTAAAAATTAAAATTTCACAAAATCTTTTAAGCCTTAAAAACTATAATCCAATCAGGCTGTTTTTCAAACTCAAAATATATTTTGGTGCTTTAAATTATACCTGTAAGTTTGAAACTAGTAAGTGAAATCTATCCTTTTATGGTATTTCGAGTAAAAATTTAAGGAAAATGCACCATGGGAGATGATGACCATAACGGACACAAGTAATGACCATATGTACAGACATAAAGTGCCTGTCCATAAAAAGAAATAAATAAAATTTCACAATTGTCCAAAAAGAGGTGTATTAATTGCTTTTACAAGCATTTTTATCAGAAATTTTGGTCCATGTCAAAGCAATTGACACCCTTACACTAAAACTGAAGCCCAATCTTTACACATGGAAAACTTCCAGTGCAAAATCACATTCAACAAAATTGAAACTTAAGGTTTATCAAATAATAAATATATGAAATAATAAAATTCTTCTCTATCTCTTTTTTTTTCTAATTCATGTTGTGGGAGACAATGCTTAAATTAAAAGCTGTGAGGAAAAATACAACTCAAAAACAGTATAAAGCCTAGGTTACATTTGCCGTGCAATGTCCCTGCTGTGCCCACATACCCCTTTTTGTGCTGTGTCCATAGGCAGGCAGTGGCAATACAAAATCACACCATTTCATGGTATCTTAAGCCTCCACAATTTTGTCAAGCAGAAACTTTTTAACAAATTTTTAACATCCTAGATTTGTGGAGCATAACTATATAATAGATGGCACAACTCAGTTTCTGTATAGACATTGTTGTGATGGTGATAATAGTCAAACCTATCGTTGATCTCTATCGCTTCCACTTTTTGTGGTTTTAGGAGGCATGACAGTGAAGACGTTTAAAACTTAGTGCAATTCACTTATATAAATTGGAATTTATGCATTTCCTTTTTCTTACCAAGTGGGCACTAAAACACAAGGGGAACTGCAACTGAAAGGGCTCTGTATGATCATTTTTCAACTGACAAACTGATTTTTCTCTACCTGACCTCAAGGTCATGTCGGAAGAATAGCATGACACCCAAACATTATGTAAAAATGATGGCAGTATCCACTTACTCCCAAAAATGGCACGCAAAATTGTATATGATTTCATCATACAATGCCTATGGCAAATGTAATCTAGGTGTAAGGCTGACGAATGATACCATATATACATCAAAAAGAACAATGAAAGCAATAACATTGGGATAAAGCAATGAAAATTTTTGTTTCATACTAAAAATAAATGTAAAGCATGAGGACCATCATAGAATGGTGGACTTAATTACGATTATTGAGCTTAGTATCAACTGTTCAAAGTTATGTCTTAGGTCATATTTGTATCACGTCATAAATTTTTCACAATTGGAAAAAAAAATGATCAAAAAATTTCAAAACCTTGAACTGGTGGTGTAATTCAACCGACCACATTAGATTTTTTTTTTTTACAAAATTGGTTTTGTGTAAGCTACACTATAGCAGAGCAAAACAACACATAAAAACTGGTAACACCATGAAAGCAGCTAACCATTCATTAATCTGTATATCATCCAACATGGTCACGGTACTTAAAACCAAACATCACCTATCTCTGGGGCTTCTTTCAGTCTGTAGACAGATAATTTTCTGACAAAGTTAAAAAAAAATAAATAAATTAAAAAAAAAAAAACTCTCATACTTGTTCCAAGAAATAAATGAGCTCACCTCTTTGTGGGAATACTTGGAAGTCCTTGATCTGAGTTGTGTGTCGCGTGTGGTGATAACATCATCTTGGCCTGCTTAGATCAAAATAAAATGATTATTAACATCTACTTTCTGAACTCAAGTTTAAATAATAGTAGGTAAAAAAACACCTGAATAATCTTGTGAGGTATATATGTGAAAATCATTTCCTCCAAAGGGACACCAAAATATAGACTAATCTCAAATAACATGCAAAAAGGCAATCAATGTTGTATAACTTAATTGTCCGTAGCCTTGAAAAAATGCTTATCAAGGCCTGAGAGGTGTGTCACACGCTAGAACTTTTTGTCACCACCAAAACCTAGAATGTTTAACTAATATTACCAAAATGAAGATCAATCCAAAAACCGCATGTGACAATGCTATCAAGTGTGTAGAACTGAATAGTCTGTGGCCCTGAAAAAACTGACATGCAATCTTAGCAGTTGATCTCTTGCCAACATGCAAACTCTTTGCAAATAACTAAAACATGTGAAAATGAACTTTCGTTCCACTGTATTTTCCATTTTAGAACAGTCTTTTCCCCCTGTTAAACAAGACATCTTATCCCATCTTACAATAAGGAAACTAGCAACAAATAAATAAATAAATAAATAAATAAATAAATAAATAAATAAATAAATAAATAAATAAATAAACTGAAAAAAAGTCTTGCTGTTAAAATAATGCTAAAAGAATGCTGTAGAATATTCCCCAAATATCAGTATTTTTGGTCTACTGTTGTCCCCTTTTCGGTGAATGATACCCCCTTCAGTCTCCTGATCATTAATTCATACAAAATTTCTGTCAAGTGTACTACAGGAGAGTAACAAGTTGCACCTAGTCAAACATTTTGTATCCATTATTATCATATCTCCATTATCTACCAATGAAAAACTGCATCCAGGGTAACAAGACACAATAAGGCTTCGTTCACATCCAATGTCTATTTTCTATTTTCGGTATGTCTTATGATCACGGTCTGTGCACTGAATATCCCGCGGCGTAATTACTGGCAGCGCGAGCCAGTTACTATAAGTTACTATAAGTAACTGGCTCGCGCTGCCAGTAATTACGCGGCGGGATATTCAGTGCACAGACCGTGATCATAAGATAGCGCGAATAGAAAATAGAATTTAGAAAATAGACATTGCATGTGAACGAAGCCTAAGGAACTGAGCAGGTTATGGGCTGAACAAGCCATGCAACTGGATCGATTTTTTTTTGACAAAATTGGCATCAGTAGGATTGTCAAACATATGGTCACATAAGCATTAAGTAAGCTATCAACAGATAAAAGAAAGTGCAAGACATTTATCTTTAGATTTCAACTCAATCTTCAACTAACATTGGAGTTTTTGACAATGTCAAACACCCCCCAAAGAGCTTTCAGTAATGTTTTGAGGATGTGGTAGTAACAGTATTATATTAAATCTACTCCCCCTTAAAATCTTTGTTGAGTGAGTGAACTAAAGTAATGCACATAATCAATAACCACATCTTAATTTTTTTCAAGTTTTTTGGTTTGGTTGGCAATAGCTGGTTATTATTTTCCACAAAAATTTCAAAAACTCCAGGGTGTTGAATGTGTCTCAAAACCCCCAAAATATCTCACGTATATACGCTCCTTGTAAACAGCTGAATAAAGCTGGATTCCCATATATAAACCTGTCGTAGTAGCAAGATTGATCAAACTCACAGGGGATTCTTGTTAAATTGCATTCAGTTGAAGCAGCTTAGATGTCTACCAGAGCCACTGAAGCTGCCAGGGGGGGGGGGGTAATTAACTTTCCTGCACGCTTTAACTGAATGCTATTTAGCAAGAATTCCCTTAGAGATAGATTGAAGATCCTGCTAATACAGTAAGGGTTATAGGAATGGTCCTTAAGATTATCATGCAGTTACTGTTAATGTTCAGAGGGATTCTGAGGCAAAAAGCATTTAAGGAACACCCACCACCGGCATTCCCTTTCTGCTGAAGCATTTCATTCTCTTTCCTACCCTCTCTCAGTCTCCTGTTAGCCTCTTCTCTCTCTTCAATAAGGCGATTATCTAGGTTATCTGGAGAATAAGGAGAAAACATACCTTCAATAGGCCATGATGCATTGCTTGAAAATAAAATAAAAAAAAAAAAGTTTCATCAGAGAAGTGGGCCCCGGGGGCATTTTATCATGGAAAATAAGTGAATCAAGAATTCCGAAAAAAAAGACAATCGGACCTCTATGCTAGTGACTGATGATTCCTCAGTACATGTAGATATCTAAACAAATATATAATTAAATGTGTTAACAAAAAGTAGTTGACAGATGTACAGCATTCTTTCTTTTCTCACTTTGCGTAGTTGACTATATAATTATGGAGGGATGTGGACTTTAGAAATGGTCATATAATGATATCATTTAAATTTTTTCCCAAAATTATATCCCCCATATAAAAAAAAAAATTTTAAAAAGGTCAAAGAAAGATGACTAAATCTGTCAACTGTGGATTTCAATTTATTAAGGGAAATTCAGTTTCACAATTTCTGTAGAACCTATAACTAAAACTGAAAACATTTCAACACACACACATACACACACACAGCTTGAAAATGTTATTTAATTTCTAATCTTGAAAATATAATTTTCCTAAATATGAAGTAAATGCTTTCTTTTTTATTTGAGGAACATTGATAAAAGTTGCACTACTAAGAAGTATCTCTATTTGGAGTTTAACAGCCATATTGGAAAATTCAGGTAAGCCTCCACAAATTTAATAACAGACACTATCATTCTCAACCAACACGACGAGTTAAGTGTACACGATTTTAAATCATTGTGTACAAGCTTTCGAGTTATGACACATGAATTCTGTAAACATATGTTATAATATACTAATGCATTGTCATAAAATATAATAGTTTTCTTTCTTCTGTTAGACAACCATCATCAGTCACAGGTCTATGAACTAACACCTGTAGCACATGACATTTTGCATGTACCACCCAGCTAGGGGATAATACATTTTTTTATCTTCCCTTTTTTTATGCGTGTTTGCTTTTATAAGAGTTGTCCATCGAGAAACAAAATTCTTAGAAAACAGTAGAGATTAATGATGCTGGGCGTTTCTTATGAGGCATATTAAGTATAATTTTGTACATTCAATTTATTTCCAGTGCACAGGACTACTACTTTTAACCCCAAAACATCTCGATCTTAAGGTTCGTTTTTTTTTTTTTTTTTTAACATTAGAAGGTAATAAAAGAAGTTAACAAAAGGTAACAAAAGATAGAAGGGCCTGCAGAGATAAGTTTTCAGTTTTGTGTGTAATGTTGCATCTGGGTTCTGAAATTTGGGAGACACAAACTTTTATCAACCTCCTCCCATACATACTGAAATCTGATAATTTTTTTTTTTATGCTTCTTTGAAATGATGTTTACAACAGTCATTAAAAGTATGCACTGCGCAAAAAAAGGCCACTCATGGACAATGGACTCTAAAAAAACTGAATTCTTACTTGAAAGCTGGAGAGGACAAAAACTGCATTTAACTATGCACAAACAATTTTAATTTCTTTATGTTCCTGCTTGAAAATTCGTCACAATAATCTTTGTGCTCAGAAAAATTCAGCGTGATGTATTAGTTTTTCAGTTATCTGTAATATTTGAGGTGGCGAAAAGCCGCCATTTTGTCTCTAGTTTTTGTAACATGTATGCATCCATAAAATCACATTTCCCCCACTCCTCTTACATTTACACCCCATTTCCATAGATTAGATCGACCTACTTTAGATCGACCTAACTCCCTGGGGGTTCACACTAAATAGCTGCCAGCCGGGCAGACACGAAAGTTAATTATCCCCTTTACAGCTTGTAGTAGGCGGGACGGACATTTAAGTCGGATTATCTGAAAGTAATCTAGTGAGACTCCCCGCGGGAATAGATCGATCTAAAATCTATGGGAACAGAGCCTTAAACATCCACTGAAATAGCTCAAATAAGTGCCAACAAACATATCTGAATGCACATCATGGTACATCTTCATGAATTACTGTACTAAAGGGAACAAAACACTGCTATTTCCAAGACACGCATATATGTGGTTCTGGGTCTTTGGGGTGAGTGAGAAATGAGCTGCATATATGACGTGACAGTCTCTGTGGGGTTAATATCTGAGCATTTGATCCATTAACTGCATAACACTCAGTTCTTGATCCGAAGAAAAGAATGAGACATCATGTCAGAGGTTCTCGGCTGATTTGATATCCGATTGTGACAACATTGTTTACTTTTTCTGCCCTGGTTGAACATCAGATCAGACAAAGATAGTTATAGGATGTCTGTTTCTTCAAAGAGTGAATTTTGATAGAAAATGGAAACGGAAGGCTATTATTATCATCTGTTTTGTGTTATTCATTTCTGAGCTGCCTATTAACTATTCTTTTTTCTATATAATTACCAGACGCAGCTTGTCTAAAAAATAGGTCATGTTGCAATTTGCAGGGATTTGAAAAACAAGTTTACACAGGAGATCTGCATTTTTCAATAATCAACACAATCAAGAGATTCCAAATTCTAAACGTCACACCTAACACATTTTCCTGTTTCCATCATCTCCTTCAAGCTGAAGTTGGTATGATCATTTTATGTACATTCTATTACAGTGACATTACTTTTCAAAGGCAATTTCATAAAATCTTCAGAAAAAAATCCACATTCCAATATTGCACTTCTCCCATTCAACATTCCTCTTCCTTTTTTCATACACTTACATCATGAAATTTAAGACAATTTTTGATGTACTTCATCTTTTCATCTGTATACCTGATGAGTATATCAACGACATTTCTTCTTACCTAACTCGTCCTCATTATCAGGTATCACAGGGGGCACGTTGGGCCCTACAGCAGTGCTGCTGCCTTCTACAGACAAGTCACTCATGCTATAGCTCTTCTTGAGGTGATCTAATACTGCTCCATGGCCCTGAAGAAAAATCAAAATCAAAATATACCGAGTCCTTAAGTGGTTATAACAACACAACTTGATAAGCATTTTCTTTAATAAAAATGTTCCATGCAAAAAGCAACTTCTTTCACAAACCTGTTCATTATCTAAAATAAATAATTATTAATCAGGTTAGATTTAAAAAAAAAAAAAAAAAAAAAAAAAAACATGATGTGGCAGCTTTGAATGGGTGCTTTTCTCCTAAAACAGACCTAAACATCTTGTTATACCAGAAGTTAATTTAAAAACATAGCAAAACATTGCTGATTCAGGTTGTGCTGATAACCATATTGTGACAATTTTACACATTGCGCATAGATAATGACCCTCTGCTTCTAAACCTAATATCACACCATTCTTTTGAACACAATGTCTGTCAATGTTCACTGTGACTGAGGAAATCGGATTCATTGTCATGCCTTAGTGTAACAGGACACTTGAAAATAGATTCAAAGGATCGATCTTTTCTTGGATGAAATGCAATCAAACCAGTTTATCACAATATGCTTTCATACTTAAAGGCCTTTTTTAGTAGAGCTGGGTTGACCTTACTTGGCATGCACTACATAGAAGGGTATTTGATTATGATTTCTAATTATAAACATACACATCTCTCTGTGTTCCTATTGTAATTGTATTTGATTTCAATGATAATGGTCAGTTGTGTGCTGTAACATGGACTCTTCATAGTTTAAAATCAAAAACACTGACTGCTGAGATAGTGTGAACTAAATTGGGCTGACTCATCTCTACTGGGAATAGGCCTTACTTAACAACTTGTTTCTTTGATCACCTACAAAACAAGCACCAGTGAGCCCTAGTGAGGTCAACCCTGTCATATGGGGACAATAACAAAGCCAATTTCCAACTAGCAGCAATGACAGTCACAATTTAATACATCTGCCATGTAATGACAGTCCACATATCAAACACATATCACAAGATGTGATGACAAAAATATAGGTTTAAATGGGGCAAAAGGTACGTTTGATTCTGTCAAATCAAAATCGGAACACATTCAGACTGCTGGCATGATATATAATGTAATCACCCCCCCCAAAAAAATAAATAAATAAATAAATAAAAACATAGAAAAAACCAATTATTAAAATACAGAGTAAACCCTTCTGACTAAATTGCTATTTTCTTTACAGTCATGATAAGCTCTCCAGTATTCAATTTTGATAATCAACAGACCTACAAAGAATATGTGTGAGGCATCATCCTAGATTTATCATTTATCTACGAATATATTCAAATAATGCAAAACATATCACCCCGCATTTCATTCACATTTGGTTAACAAAATGATTCAACCCTGGCTGAATAATTTTATTTGCTGTAACTCAATCATGCGATCATCTAACAAAAGATCTACCGTCAATATTGTCTTGAATTCTTGGAAATGCATATAGAAGCGATAGACTGCAGTCAGACTTGGGACTCATTTCCCTTCTCCCATTGTTTCCCTTGACCTACCATCCTTCAAATTTAACTACAAGCATACTTCAAAGGACATGAGATATCACTTGTAGCTATGCTAATTCAGTGTGATGTTACCTGTTGGTTGTTAAAGCATTCTTTTGGGCTGCTTGGGACATATTCAAACAGTAATTTCTTTGCAGTCATTATAGCAGAGAATGCAGTCCGACATGAATAATACTAAATTATACCTTGAGCATTAATTTCACTTTTCTAACAAAAAAAAGAATAGCAGGAACATCTGTATAGCTGGGATTTGTGACAAAACAAAACAAATGCCGAGATTGATTTATATGCTTTCTTGAAGTGTTAACTAAAATAATAATAAAATAATATATTAAATGAACATTTTTCTAAATTCTTTTTCGTTGTTTTCATATTTACTGTCTTGGTTATACTAACTTCATGCATTCAGTGCTATTATTCTCAGGCCTACCCAACTACCAGACTCGGCACCGAATGATCCTGAATTCACCGGTAGATCAGACCACACTACCCGTTTTCAAGGTGTGAGTCAGTACGCATTACACAGTACCATACCCTGAACAAATTTTGAGTGGTGATGCAATGCTTTTCAACCCCACTGAGAATCGTCACTATCACATCGCGTACTAGGCAAGAGCGGTGTTGCGTCTGATACTGAGAATTCAGGATCATTCGGTGCTGAGTCTGGTAGTTGGGTAGGCCTGATTCTGATACACGTCTACAAGGCACAGAAGTCCAGTGGTTAATCAGCAGATGTGCAAACTTCCCTTTTGAGTAATAACTGATTCAAGAAACAATAACACGAAAAAGGCATTCTTTTGTTACTAAGTAGCAATCATGAACTACATAAGTCATCAAGTACACAAATGTCAGTATGGTGTCAAAAACCATGTCTATCAACAGTCAAACACAGTGGCCTCGAGGTAACCAATTTTTACAGTGTCCACGGTGACCCTACTTCCATGACAATGTTACATCCACTTATTTCCATGGTAATCTAGCCAGTGGCAACTTACCTTGAGGGCTGTCTGCACCACAACATTGCTTGCATAGGAGAGTCCCTTTGAGCCTACTGTGAGAATGGCACTGTAACCTTTGTCACTGGCCTGCTGGATATAAGCATCTATTTTCTGAAGTCAGAACAGCCAATTATTGGTGAAAAATGCAGATGATTTGAAATTCTATAAAATATTGAATTATCTAAATATCTTTTAATCTAGCTTATTGCTGAATATGAAAGCTTGCCGTTAATACAGTAGAAGGAATTCAAATTTTGACAGTGAAATAGAAAAAGGCAAAGCCATCTGTTACAGAACTGATGATTAATTTTCAAAGCTCATCCTTCCCACAACTCTACAACCAGGTGATCATGTGCCCCATGCAATCTACTATTTTCAACAATTTTATGTTGGTATTTGCCTTTCCTTTTATAATGGAATGAAACCAAATATGCACAAAATTGCACCAAAGCTTTACATAATAAAAGTTTGAATTCAGAAAGGTCACATATTATGACAGGTACAAGACCCACGCAGATTCCACATCCACATGTAGGGCATTGAAAAAAACCATCAGTACAATCAGTGACCTTAGATGTCTCTTTCTGCTTGGTCTAAAAGGTTGGAAACTGGCCAATATGCAAAATAGAATTACAGCTAGCTTTTATCTACACTGCATGTTCAACTAACTCTTTGCTTTGAATACGAAAAATGGTAATTGTATACTGCCTAAAAATATTTTAATCGAACAGGGGAATAGCAGTGTTGTATCATTTCATCTTAAAATGGCAATTAAATAGTTAATGTAGGCTCTAAAAAATGCATTCATTCATGTCAACTATGGTGTGATATTATAAAATAGAAATGGCAGTGCATAACAAAAAAGGTTCACGATATTTAAAAACTCACTTGTTCACGCTTTGTCAGCTGAGGATGCACAAACTTCCTATACAATATACTTGAGCCTTTGGTGGCAGGTGACAAAAGCCACAGGACAAATACAATTTTCGCCTCATAATAGAATGGAACCCTGCAATGACAAAGATTTATAAGCAATAAATCAAACAAGGGGCATTAATGTTGTGTGCCCAACAGAAGGGTTAATTTATTGTAGACTGTGAAGGTCACCACCTCAAGTGTCTCCTTAGCTAGTGCTGCCATCTGGTGAACTTCATATCAACATGTGTAAACGACCAGACGTGATGATTAACATAATGTTATTCTAAAGTGCCATTTCAAGACACGTACACCTGCCAAACCTGGCATTCTGGTTATGGAATCTACAGGTGCTTATTTCTCTCACTGAATAATGACTTTTATAAATAGGCATTTAATAGTTCATGCTTATTGCATGTTGGGCACAACATACAGTATGCATATACATAAAGCAAAAGTTTCTAAATGAAAAATCATGTGAAATGAGAATGTGGATCAATTTTGATTTGTCACATTAAAACACACATCAACACAGTACTCTGTCATGCCCAGCACATCATATGAAGACGAACTCCAGTGTAACAGTTCTTTGCAATATATCGATAATGGAAATACAGTTTAAATGGCATTGGCTTCAATCAGCATCTCTGCACTGTAATTTCCCTAATGTATACAGCTAGCACATAATTTATCACAGATATCAATATTTCCACCAAATGGTGATTAAAATAGTTTCTGCTTAGAGTAGTGCTCATGGCGTCTAAAGGACTGCTATATTCAATATTTATAAGAAGATGGTGACACACTTCTCAGTTCCATGATGAACCTCTTCACTTTGATCTTTTATATTTCATGTTTTTCACTTCAAATATTAATAGGGAATCCATGACCAGGTTTTATAAGTGTGATATAAATCTAACACCATAAAATATTTTTGAAAAATAAATAAATAAATAAATAAAATAAAAACAATTAATAAGTGCACAGTAAATGACTATGGTGAGGAGCAGAGGCAGCAGTGGATCAGAGGTCAAAACACAAACCTTCTCCCTCACATGAAATAATTTTAAATTCTCCGTTACCCAAAAAGCTGAACGAATTGCAATCTATTTATTGGTTGTAAAATCGCAGGGGAGCACTGCTTCCGTGTGTAATTACCATTTCTTCAGCAGTTCACTTCAAAGAACCAAGAATAATGTTCCAAATAAATTGTATTCCCTTATGTATTTTCATGCATGTTGCTTGGTACTTATGTTCTATCCACAATTCTTTGGGTATGCTGAATCAATATGATAGACAATTGTGTGTAATATTAAGAAAGCATTCCCACAAATGCTATTTAAAGCTAAAAGTCCAAAACAAACCAGGAAAATGCTCTCTCATCAAGTCCATTTAAAAGGAGAGGTAAAGTTTGATTGTGATCTCCACAAGGTATCACATTTTTACAATCAGTATCTCATCAATTACCGTTCAAATTCAGTGCATGGTTGGCTTCTGATAAAAAATAACCCAAGATTCTTGTAATGAGTCTTTGAAGTAAATAAATCAAAATAAAGATAGCTGTGTTCTTTGCTTACAGTAATGTGAAATATAAATCTCATATAATGAATCAGATCTCTTTTATAATTCATCATTCACCCCCACTGCTAACGTGATAACAATATATGGAAAGATGAAACCTTCAAGAGTTCACAGGAACAAAAAAAATCACTTTCATATCCATAATAAACTGACCATACACATTGAAAGATGGTGTAAAGTCATATATTTTTTTCTGGAGGAAAAAATAAAAATTGGTGCAGAAAATCTTGTACGTGATACCTTTAAAATGAATATTTTCCATGCTAATTTTTGACAGTTTTGTTGAACCTGTGTGAATTCTTGGAGCTGTTTTTTGGAAAATATTTTTTCCTGTAAATCTTATTACTGGTTTAGTTCAAAATTGGTATAAAAATATCCAGTAATCTGGCTACAAGAAGTTATTTCTAGAGCAAATCCTGGTTGATACACCTTGCTTTTTAAATTTATTCATATCTTGACCTCATCTGACTTGAAGAGGTAGCCAAGCACAGCAAGGGAACTGTGCAGCATAAAACCAATACTCTTACCTAGATATTGTCTTTGAAATCATTTTTTTTTTCTGATGTTAAATGCTATGCTTTTAAGAATTTCTAAAAGCCAATGAGAAAGAAATATATTTTAGGATTACTGGTATATGTATGTGGTATCTTAGATTCTCCAACTAAATGTGGATTAATAGGAAAGGTCTAAACCAATTCTTCTCAGCAGATCATTTATATATGATAGCCTTATATCATGCAATGCCTGTGCAGCCATTATGGGGGTAAGGAAAAAAAGGATTCCCAATCTCTTGAAGGATTTTTTTCACAAGGTGTATTACTGGTGGTGGGCTTGGAGTGATTAGGCCTGTGCAAGTGGGGACATACTTACCAAGACAAAAATATATCTGCAAATGTCTCTGCACATGTGAACAAGGCAAACACTATCCAGTACATCATCCATTTAACCTGGAATAGTAAAGAAACTTTCTAAAAATGTATAATAATACATAATTTTCAATACTATTTTTGATTTATAGATAATGTGTTCTTTTTTAATATTCAACATATATTTAAACTTGCTGTAAAAATGAAGTTTTTTTTTATTGAAAATAAAAAGAGAGAGAGAAAAAAAAACCTTGCCAAAAAGGCTCATTTTATGAGTGTCGAAAAATTCAATTTAAACAAAGCTCAGAGGCATAAGAACCTGTCATAGTACATTAAACCTTTGTAGTCACGGCAGAAACCCATAGAAGCAGGTCATGCTGGTATAATGCTTGATTACAGTGGAATGTTCTCTCAAAACTACCCTGTTAATTCTCTTCAAATTGCCTCAGATGTATACAGTTAAATTAGCATCCCGTGGTTATGGTGGCTTTTTATACTCATTTGCAGTAATATGTCTATGAAGTTTTAATAGTTTGGATGTCCTCATAACAGGTCTAGTACTGAAGGCACAGATTGTAACACAGGTTTTGGAATAAAGAAATCAATGGCAGCCCGTTTTTTTAAGTCTACTACATATACTCTAACAACCAAGTGTCTGTCTAAAAGCCAGTGTCACCAAACTGTAGACATTGATAAATTATATCTCAAAATTACTGGATTGGGGTGCTCCTGTCCCATTTCAAAACAAAAAGAACAATCATTCTCATGGTTGCGATATTTGAACCTCATTAATGTGTGAACAGCACACAGAAACAAAAGGAAAACAGTTGAATAACAGGCCCTCCAAGGTAGGAAGTAATAAATCTATTTCACAATAAACAAATTGTTCAGAGAAAATGATTATCATTCAGTAGAGGATATGTAACAAGATCTTTTTTGAGTTGTGAACTTCTGACGCCTTGTTCCATTTATGTAAAAAGTCAAGGTGCAGCCAGAAAATGTTAGGTTAATTGCAGAGCTTGTTATCCAGACCACTTGCAATCTTCTACTGCCAATTTGACATTTGAACAAAATGCTATTTATATTTTCTGACATGTTTCCAATATTAGAATTCAAAGGAAACTGCGAGGGAGATTCAGAATATTTTTAGAATATAACATGCTGGAATAATAGTGATTTTCTTCCATCAGTCTGAAATACTTTTAATAAGACATTATTACCAGGATTAAACTGCCACCACTCACCAACTGCTAGTGAATCCAGAGACATGTCAAACCTGACCTACCTGGCCTAGTGAGTGTCTTTTATTACATTCACATTGCTGTCTTCATATACACCCCACCAAAAATATTCAGTACATGTCAGAATAACTGTGTCACTTTCAACAGAACGCCATCAATATATTACTAGAAAGGATGTTCATATGGTGGGTTATGACATGTTTCCAGAGCACATGGCAATGTATACCATGTCCCAAACTGGACATGCAGGCCATTTTCTTAACTTTTGAACAGACATACTATGTAAAATTTTTAACTAGCCATTTTTTTCATTATGATCAAGGAGCACCAATTCTTGCCTTGTTCTCAGAATAGCCAGATATTTTAGTATCAATAAATAAATATATAAATAAATCTTTTAATAGACAATATACATGAATACAATCCTGTAGAAAATACACAATTTCCCTTTAGGGGACGGGACTTAGGCTTCGTTCACATGCAATGTCTATTTTCTAAATTCTATTTTCTATTTGTGCTATCTTATGATCACGGTCTGTGCCCTGAATATCCCGCCGCGTAATTACTGGCAGCGCGTGCCAGTTACTTATAGTAACTTATAGTAACTGGCTCGCGCTGCCAGTAATTACGCGGCGGGATATCCAGGGCACAGACCGTGATCATAAGACATGCCGCAAATAGAAAATAGAATTTAGAAAATAGACATTGCATGTGAACGAAGCCTTATTCTGGGGAGGGTCTACATATTGTACATTCAGCAGATAAAATTTTCAACTTTTCACACGTAGTAATCTTTGCATCAGCTCATGTTTCATAGTGCCCAGACACTGACCATATATCATGTATGTTTTGTTTCATATCCCTAAAAAGAAATGATTCATTACATTTACAGTGAAATCATAAAATGTCTAGACATAGCATAACAGGGAAAGTTACGTTTCAACCAGCATACTTTTTTTCTTTTTGTTTCTCCGAAGGCAGCCTTACTGCTTATATCACACATTTTCTTGTACAGCTTCTCACAATAGCAATATCCCTGGAAATATTGCTAAAATTTTCCTCTACATGTGTTAAAAAATTAAGACTGTTAATAAACACTTTTTACATATATTTTCATTAACAGCTTACTCAAGGTCAACGGAATTACAGGTTTCTATTTCACTGGCAGTCACTTTATCACCAATGTCAACAATAAAAGACAGCAAACAAACATTAATCATAAGAAACTGATTATATGCACAGCTGAGATTTTTTTTTCTCTCCATTTCTCTGCCAGTGTCATATTAACACAACCAGGCAGCACCTGCTGGGCTTGCGCCAAGTCTACACCTTCAACCCAGCCCCTGGAACTTCAAATTACCTCTTCAAACACTTTATCAATTCCAGGCAAGTCTTTGTATTTTATACATGCTGCAGGAGTGAATACTTATTGTATACTATTAACCTAGAAGGACAAACTAATGACGGCATAGGCTGACACTAACAATCATGACACTGAGAAGAACATCACCTTCACGGTGCCATCATGTCTATGAAATGGTTTTAAGCATTTGTTTCTAAAGCAAAGTTTATACTGAAACACAGAAAAAGTTGTGATTTATTTCTCCACAGTAATGGTTTTCAAAGCTCATGCTTATTCAAGTCAGCAGCCAGGAAATCAATAACTGATTTTTTTATCTGTATTAATGCATCTTGTCAGGTATTGGTTAACTTTGAATCTGCAGAACCACCAGAAAGACGTGGGGTAGTTTTGCTACTTATTTTTAACTAGGACAATATAAAACCTCTTCAATCATATCACACTGTGTGCTTCTCTGCTCAAATTCTCTAGGAACCGCTGTAGACTTTATCTCTTCTGACTTTTCTGCGTAGTTTTAGTGAGATTTTCTCTTGCAATACAGAGGGGCTTTTTTTTTGCTTATCCAAAACCAAATAACTGATGTGTCTCATTAAGACAGTTACCAGAAATTTAAGACCAAATTGCGACTGCGTTATATTTAGCTGTTTACTTTTTATTTGGTATTCTATCCATAAGTCTTGAGAATAACATAATTAGAATTAAAAACAAAAGCCAAAAGAAGCTCTTTTAAAATGTTTGTTTCCTTTATCAATTCTTCTTAAATAAAGATGTTTTATGGTCTAGTTTACAAGCTCTCGTCAATCCAAATACGTATTCCAGACACACCATTGGTAGAGCTGATATACCTGTTGGGAAATGCGTTGCAGACAGTCAGTGATGTCAGAATACATGTCTGTCTGAGTTGTTATTTATGTGATCTGGGTGATGAGTTGTGCAATGCAATAATACTTACATATTCTCTGACGTTCTTTGTTTTGACTGCTTTGTATGAAGCATATGCAGGGTAAAGGGTACCAAATACTAATCTGAAAGGAAAAAGAGAGATGTTTTCAAAAAAAAAGTTGTACGTGAGTATATATCATAACATTTGTCAAAGCAACAGGAAATAGGCTTGGTCGTGTTTGCATGTCAGACCTGATGCAGAGAAAACTCTGACTCAAACTAAATCATTCTAGGAGTATGTGCAATAGGATTTAACTGCTTACAGTTAAATAAATAATGATAATATATCTGCTGAACTAGAAAAGAAAAATATAATAATTTCTGGAAGTAAAAATGGTTTTCCTATCTGTGGAGTTAATTTCTGTAAATTTCTGCTTTGGCAATTACAGTCCCCATGAGAGATTTTGTCATATATCATAATATAAGCTTTAATACTAAAAACAGTATTGAACCCCCACTCCACAAACAATAGTTCACAGCTGAATGGATACCAGACTTTTTGGCGCTATGACAAGACTCTCATACCCTGAAGGATTGTAAAATTTCATTCAAATAGCCTTTGCAACCGGATACTTTTTTTTCTGTTCAAACACATGGATGTAACATGTAATCCCTGTCTCTCCTATTAAAAAAGTAACACCTAAACACAAGTACATTTTTAATTGGCAAAGCAGTGAAGCATTTCTACTATACTGCCATTATTGGGTTGAGAGTCTCAATCACATTTGACGCTTTGCCATTAAAGCTTTTTCCAAGATGCAACAACAGGAACAAGAGGTGTGTACTTCAAGGGTCAACGGAAAGGCTCCAAGACATTTGGCTACAATTTCTTAACTGTGTAACCTCCTGTGGTGGGTCAAAGGAAGAAAACATTTGTGTGAAAGCACTCTGTAAGTCTGCTCCTTTGGAGTCCCTATATTGTGTTTCCTACGCTAATGAACTATGTAAGGACAGGTGTTCCCTGGTAACAGTTTATGGAAGAACAACCAGGAAAGATCAATCCTTCCATCTGCAGGGCACAGTTTGGCAGGTCTTGGGGGGGTTCTATAATAAGGGCTGTTGAGGGTTGCATGTTGCTGTGTCTGTGCACCAGAAACCATGTATCAAGACATATGCAATCATCAATTATCAGAAAATAATTCATGGTATGTACTCTCGGTGAATATATGTACAGCCTGAGTATTCATCTAAATGTTCAACACTTAAAGCTTCATTCAGAATTTCTAAATAATATTGTCAGTGTGGTTTCAAATAGCAGACTTTATCAAAGTGTGTGCCTTGATAAAAAATGCCTGGTGCACAAAAAACACAAAACTCTGTAATAAAAATATATCAAACAAGCTTATCTTAAAACATATGGCTTGTTGAGTGACATATTATAAAAACAGACCTTTCAGAATTCAATATGGTTTCATCTCAAGTCACTATAGTGCTATTTGCCAAGATAAAATATCCTGTTGTATAGTAAGGCTAAGAGATTTTAAATGTGTCATCTTTGTGATTGATAACTGGAAGAATAAATGTGTGACAAGCCCAAGTGACTTGGGTGAGTTACCATTATAAATAACATTATATTTCTTCTTTCAAAGGGTAGATGGCACATCACAGGGGAACAGTTGCCAATTTAATAAGGTAAACAACAACAACAACAACAACAGATCAAATGTCTAAGTAACTGTTTCTATTTAGGAATTGGTGAAAATAGTCATCATTGCTCCAGATTATGTTGAATTGTTAAAGTAATGATTCCATGCAAGTTTTTGATCTAAAATACAAAACGTAAAATTCTTACAAACCCCAACACATACAAATTGGACTTCCCTACCAAAAGAAACTTGTTGATTACCCTTCGAAGTATTAACAAAACAACTAAAGTAGGTATAGAAATAGGATCCAGTATCTAATATATGTATTTTCTACATTAATATGAGTTAGTCATTTTTAGGATCATGCATAAGCAGGAACAAAATACTCCAATTGCATTTAATTTCATGTAACCAACAATAAGCTAAAATAAATCCTACACCAACAGGGGCCTATCCTGTGCTATGATGAAACAACCATATCACAAATAAGATAAGAAAATAAATTTTATGAATTCCAAATGCATGTAAGCCACTTCTACTAGTTTCTTACACGAATAAAATAAAGTTGACATGCCACAGGATAAACAAAATTAACCATTCGACAACTGTAAAAAGGCTTATATGTCCCTCCAGTTTGTGGAAGTCAGTAAAATGATGTAGTCCTGTGCGCACATTTCATAATCATCGTATGGATATAACTGCACATGCAATTGCATACTTATTCAACCGGGTTGCAAAAAAAAAAAAAAAAAAAAAAAAAAATGAGGGTTATATTAAGCATAGAAAGTAAGAAGAAAACAATTTTTTTTCTGGTTAATATGTAACGATGTCCTTTGGTATTTAAGGGTGCATTCCTAGAGATTTAGATCGATCCAGAGATTTAGATTTAGATCGACCTAACCCCCTTACAGATTTTAGTAGGCGGGACAGTCGGTTAAGCTGACAGTAATCTAGTGAGACTCCCCACAGGGATAGATCGATCTAAAATCTATGGGAATGGGGTCTATAAGTACCTGGTGGCATTATATATATGTTGATAGATAAAGTAGTAGGTGCCATTGTTTCAAACACAAAAATGAGTTCTTATGAAAATTAATGGTAAAGATACTCTTTATGAAAGTAACTTGCCAAAATACATTTTCCATGGGGGAAAAAAGCAATTTTCTCCTACTCATGAATCATTGCTCAATCCCTCACAACACTTGGATTAGAATGTTTTATTCCATTTTTTAATTGATGATTTAGATTTAAAAGACTTGCCAGTTTTTAGAATGCCATGTCTTCCTGTACATTTCAGAACTATGTCAGGTACTTTAAGGGCAAAATTGGGAAAGATTCCTTGCTTTTCAAATATGTACACATAGTAAATACAACTTATTTGTTTATATTGTTTTCTCTGAATTCTGTCAAATATAAAGCTTTTTGCTCATAGACATTGGACTAAATGCTCTGTCCATTTCATATTGGTCATTGTTATTGCTAGGTTTCCTTGCTAACATAGGTAATTTAAAAAAGAATATCACTTATTAGTTGCTGCCACCAACACAAGACCATTATTGGATTATCTTTCAATGAAAAGTCAAACAATTCAATGCATATCTATATCTTTACAAACAGACATGATTCAGAAAGTTCACTGGTCAAAATTTGTTTTAACCAACAAGGTCTACAGGTCCACTAGCTGAAATGTCAAGAGAATCAAACAAAGGTGTTGCTATAGTGCTTCATAATGGAAACTCTTTCAACTTTTTTCTTGATAGAAATTACCCTTGCACCACAGGTTCAGTGAACTTCAAAACAAACTTGAAAGAGTGTCTGGTCAATGAACTTCTTTTGTCGAAGGCCTTCATAGCCATCATTATAGGAACCCCGAAAGCTGAATATTCTAACAAAGAGGATACACCCCATACATAGCAGTTAAAACAGCGTAAATTTACGCAACAAATTCGTATAGCGTTCGATCGTATTTACACATCACATCACAGAGAGAGGAATCAACTACATGCTATCTGTATACTACATAGCCAACACTGCAATTTCGGAACAATCACCACATGCTAAAAAGTGCATAGTCAATAAAACTCGTCAGACGGGTATCACACAAAACAGGAAAGGCCTGCTGATAAACCTAAAAAAATCGAAGTGGTTTAATACATTTCTAAGAGAGCAACTTCATACTTACATCACTACACGTGAAATAATTGCAGAAACCATCATAAACAACTGGTTATTACAAGTCAGCTACAAGGTATGAGTTCTCTAAAGGCAGCAAAATATTACAGCCAAAAATTTTTCAGTTGCACTCTGTGTCGGCCATTTTGAATGTTTACGTCAGCTGTCATGTGACTTTGGAATTTTTTTTGAAACAAAGCACCAGGTTGCAAATTTTATGGCGTAATAGAACAAAATAAATCTTAAATATACAAAGTATTCAAAATTATTTAAACACTGCGGTTTTCTTTGGCAATTCATACTTGGATTGTGCATACGTTGTATCGGATCAGTCTCATCTTGTAACCAGCCATGACGGGCCAAAATACACAAAGTAGTTACTCAAGATACCATCCAACGGTTTATTTACTTGGGTTAAACGTACATTTCTGTTGCATTACTTATTACAGGTTACAATGATGTACTTTTCTACATTATAGTCCTGTCTGAGAGTTATTTTCTATGGAACTATTTTCGTGCACTGGTTGATCGCGGAAGAACATTACAAATAACTTTTTGACCTTTCGACCCAGGAAATAGTTCCAAAACAGTATCGTTCCGCACCATCATCATAGGAGTGGAAACATTCCTGAAAATTTTGACTGTTTTTGTTTTATTTACCTGTCTATTGGGACATTATGGATACGTTTGAAGAGACATGGCGCTAAAATATCGAGAAGAGTTGGTTGGAAAGCGTTTCCTTTCTGTCAGGAGCCCCTCGCGGTTAAAATTAAGCAAGATCCATGAATGGGAATGGCGGGCTGGCATAGTGCGATCAGTAACTCATAAGAACTACACACAGCCAGATCTTCAGGTAAGCTTTTCTGAACGTTTCTTTGTTTCAAATTCTCATTTTTCATCACCTCGTTAATCTCTTGAATTTAAATATCATACTTATGTGTAGTTTATTCCAACCCCGTGCATAGTTCCAGAGGTTTGAATGTGAAGGAATGACCCAAGTTGTAGTGTTGCTGTTGTACCACCACCACATTCCCTCAGCTGATCAATTTTCATAGGCCTGACTGTGCCTGTGCGTTGTATTAAGCCAGTCTCACGTGCCTGTGAAAATGTGGAGTAACTGAGTACCTTGTAATGACATCATTAGTAAATTTGTACTCCTGGATATTTTGGTAATGTTGTTGTATACGTTTTTAAAGTAAACTTTGAACTGAGTCTTTAGTACACCCTTCAAGTCATAGGTCTGAGAAAGTAATTTTATTATTACTTCATATTTAAATCACTATATACAGGGTTAAGTTGTGAAAGTACAATTTTTCTAGGCCCTTTAACAATCCTGCAGTACTTCATAACCACCACTGTGTTGGGCACCAAACTCAAAAATACCCTTCAGTTACATTTTTTTCTGAGTAAGATGAGTGAACAGTTCAATGCAGTATTATATTTCCGCATAGTATAAAAACAATCTTGTGGGTGGTGGTGGTGGATTTTCAAAAGTTCGTTCTTTGAAAATAATAAGGGATATAATTTGTTTTTAAACATTTGTACAAGATGTAGTAATTTAAAACAAAGGTACTTTTATAAAATTAAGACACTAGAAATCTTTCTTGGTGTCCCCTTATAAGTTCCAGCAAGTATCATTTTTTTATTTGTTGCTTTTGGTAACTAGTTGAAGGGTAAAGAATGATAACAAATACTTGATATTTATATTAAGTTAGGAGCTATAATTTGACCTGGGAAAATGCAGTGTTTGATATAATTCATTTTCTTTCAGGTATGTGGAGTATACTTTTAATATTAGCTACATTGGAATTATTGATAGTAAATTAAAATATATACCTAACAGTTGCATTGTTGTTATCATATAACTAGCAAAACAGCTTAAAGTCACAAAGTGTAGGATTTTAAGCACCTTAAGCATATATTTCCTTTCTTGTTCATCTTATCTGAAAGTAATAGATTTAAACATATTTAAATGACATAAAATAATGTCACAGAAGATGGTCAGATTTCAAATTTACCACCTTGCTCCCTGTTAACCATCTTGAGTTATTTAAAAGTGCAGTATGTAGAAGTCAGTATGAGAAATGAGCTTGAACGAATGGCAGAATTTGAAGACAAACTCTTAATAGTGTTGGTAAGGTACTTATTTATTTTCACAAATAGCTACTCAATTCAGGAGAGTGTCAGAAAAAAAAAATCACAGGTTGGAAACTATATGAAAATTACCAATTTTCATAGGAAAATTAGTTATATGTGACTTTTGTGGGAAATCCTTTACCACACTACTTTAAAAAATCAATTCCTGCTTGTGACAGTTTTGAAGCCTAGGCTTCTTGAGCAACAAGAAAGATAACTGAATTATGGCATGAAATAATGAATTGCAATGGAAATATATAAAATTAAATATATTTATTGACTTCATGATAATATGAGGATATATGAGTAAAATTTTCTTGGAAATCTATGTTTTTTCTAGTTTGACAATTAAGTCTGATTTTATATATATAAATAGATGATAGATAATAAATTGAATAGATGAAATATGGGTCTTGAGGTCAGCCATATTTCTTATGGCTACAAAGGGTTAAATTGACCTTTGTTTGGGTGGGTATGTACCTTATGGGATAACCTGTTTTTAAGTAGGACTGAAAATAAAGAAATACTAAACTTATTACTGGATGATCTTTATGCGTTTCTTCTATATATGGATATCCTGTCTGGAATAGCTTTGAAATCTCCTGGTAAAGTATTTACAAACAATTAATTTGCAGAATATACAGTTGTCTGGAGTCTAAGTAAAAACAAAAAAGAACGGAGGAGTTTTACACCACCTTAGTTGCAGATTGTTTTTTTCTTAAGCAGCTTTAGGCCAGTTCAGTAACATATTAGCTTGTATGCTATATCAGCAAATTTTGAATAAAAATATTGTAGAAAAAGGAACCAAAATAAGTATATTTGATTGTATCATGTTACATTATATTATTCAGTATAATGTCAAAATATAAAGCAATATGATTTTTTGACATGAGTGTAAAAAGTTATGTTTACATGAGAAAGTTTATCACAAGATAGTTGTCATAACACGGTAGTGTTTTACACAAAAACTTAGTTGTTGATTTTCTTTACAGATTTTAAGTCAAATGAAGTGATGCTGTCTTTTTTTTAGGGTTGTCTCAAATAACTCGGTACTTCTAAGTGTGGCACATGGTCTGTGGATATGGAAAGAATGCCTCTGGGTCAGAGGTGCTCAGTTTTGAGTGACACAGAACAGCTACCAGATCAATGTCTTATTATTTTGTCCAGTATTGACATACATTAGTCATTGTTACTGCTTTTCATTTTACACTGGATCCATATTATTCCTAACCAAATAGCTGGCATTCCAGGTCTGATTACAAGAAGCGGTGTGTGTGGATACATATATCCCTATGTTCATTTCAGTAAGAGCCATGTGTGGTAATGGGACTTTATAAGGCAAATAGAACAACAGAACTCTGAATGAGTCAAGTGTGAATACTATTTGATTGCACTAATGAAAAGGAAAATTTTGCTGGGGGAATAAATTTGTTTCAGAGGCTTAAACTAACAACATGGAAATAATTGTTGTTTGTTTAAGATATGTTTTGAGTGAATCAGAAAATATTTACTGTAAATCTTTTATTTGTCTATATAGACTATTTTCAACAAATTTCTCCAATATCAGGGATTTATTATAAAGTATCATAAATCTCGTGTTGAGAAGCCCATTTATCTTAAGTGCCAAGTTGCGTCAGCTACCATATAACTGGGTTGAAGAGGGATTACTTCATGGATCACCACATTGTCTTTCTGATAATTCACGTGAACTTTTATTAGATCTTTTCATTTGGATTCAAATGCCAGGTCACATGGTTAGTTTATGATACTGTGTCAGCTATTTATTTAAGATTAGCATTGGCCTTAAAGATTTACCTGCTTAAATTATGGCAACCATGCTTAAAAGTATATTGTATGTGTTTGAAAATGGCCCAAAGTAATATTTTTCTGTCTACATCTCCTGTATAGCTTACATTTACTTATTCTGGCCTTAGAAATGATCAAACCTTCCTTCTGAAGTGTCATGAAGACCATGCTAGTCTCATTGTCTGACCAGACATTTAACACTAAAATATTTAATTTAAAAGACATGAAAATGCAGTGATAGACAATAATCAGTGAATTACAGATTTTTTTTTCCTGTGGAAATAAGATTTGGTAGAGAAATCCTAAATGGGATGCCCTCAATCACTGTCTAAAAGCAAAGCATGTTGGGAAAACCCTCTTTTAAATTGACCTTGGAGTGTTAACCCTTTGAGGAAAGGGCAGCTTGGATTGTACTGCAGCAAGGAAACATCTAGACAAAAAAAAATAGAGAAATGGATCTTGTTCTAATCATCAAAAGGACTGAAAAGTCTGATGAAATGCAATTTATGAAGAGGCCAGCTTGTTTTATATAGAAATGATACCATAACAGTATTTCATGGAGAGGCCTTTTGTTTTTGCTGCATATTTGCATTGCATTTCATATACCATCAAGTCATTTACGATATCTGTGTTTACATATAGTTATTTTAGTTATAGCTATTCGATTTCAACAGTAGTTTGAAAGGGACAAAATGTGAGATTTCATACACCTGTTTTTGTGGAACTTGTCTGAATGTAATATATATATATATATAATCATTTTGTCCTGTTTCTAATGAGAACAATAGTGAGCATGCTTAACGGAAAGTAAGATTAGCAAAAGGTGTTCACTACCTGTATTGACCACAATTCAATTGCAGTTAACTTGACCAGTGATTACTTAGTTTGAATAGCCCTATTAAGAAAAAAACAACATGGTCCACTTTTTACAAATTGTAATCATCGTAAAAAAATTATCTTTCAGTTGCAGGGTATTGGTATTTTCCCTCTGCTTTATCTTAAATTTAAAATTCTGATGATTAATTGCTTAAGTTTTGATGTTTTTCACGCGAAATACTGTTAGAACAGTTTTTAAGGACAGGAATTGGCTGTATTTATAACAGGAGAAATTTTATAAATCTTGGTATGTACACATATTTCAGTAGAATCTTCATGAAAACATGCTTGTGATTCATTTCAAGTGCAATATACCTCACCTCATAGCTCCTAGACTTGAATTAATTATACAGCAACCACACATATAATTTGCATTTAAATGTCTACTTAATGAATTTCTACAAGAAAAATTATGCATAACCTTACCTTCCTTAAAGGATCCATATTTTTTGTCTACATTGACAAAGGTGGGGTCATTGTTTTTTGAGTTTGACACATGACATGTCTAAAAAGCCATTGTTGCTTTTTCAAAGACCCTTCTTGAAAGGATTTTTACAATTTTGTGTAAATAAAATTTATATTGTTGACTTTTTTTTTTTGAACATTTACAATTCCAAAAGGGTTATTTAACATAGCTTGGGTAGTGCTAACACTCGCCAATTTAGCCAAATGCTAAAACTGACTTAAATTGGCTAAAGAAAAAGGACTTGATTTGACATGTTTTAGCCAAATTATAACCATTTTGATAACAAATTGACAAAAATGTGGTGATTTGGCTAAGTGAAAAAAAATTGCTAGCGCTACCCCAGCATAGAAACAAAGAATTACTATGATTTAAACCTTAATTTGACAAACAAATGTGATTACATATACCATATACACTATCCCCATATTGTATTTATTTCTTAATTTGTAGAAATTTGTTGTACTAGAATAACACTGCCAGCTGGTAATCTGTGTGGAATGTTGGTCCCTGTTGCTGTATCTTGAGGTCTATAAATTTGTTTGTATTGACAAATTTTGCCTGGAGTTCTG